AAGCATTTTGTAGTTCTGGCATAAAAATAAAATCCTAGTAGGATGATATAGAATAAAGGAGACTTCAGTTACCAGAAGGTGTCTTGTATTTTATTAATTTGAGAGTCACCGTTAAATGTATTGAATGAATGTGAGTGAATGAGTTTCTTAACGGCCTATAAGATGAGGGTGATTTCTGTGTGCCACAGCTGCCTCAGCATGTTTTTTAAGGTCTGTTATTTAGGGTGGGGGGTGGGCAGAGGGAGAAGGAATCTCCAGCAGAGCAGGGAGCCCGATGCAGGCTCGTGGGGCTTGATCCCAGGATCCTGAGATTATGACCTGAGATGAAATCAAGAGTTGGATGCCTAACCAACTGAGCCATCAGGCTCCCCTCCCTCCCCGAGCATTTTTATTTTTTATTTTATTTTTTAAAATATTTTATTCATGAGAGAGAGAGAAAGAGATTGACAGGCAGAGGGAGAAGCAGGCTCCATGCAGAGAGCCTGATGTGGGACTCGATCCCAGGATTCCAGGATCACATCCTCGACCGAAGGCAGGGCTAAACCGCTGAGGCACCCAGGCATCCCCCGAGCATTTTTAATTAATTATGTTTGTGACACGAGGTGATAATACCTGGACTTGACTGTAGAAAGTTTTAAAAATTACTGGCACTCCGGGAAGCTTGGAAAGATGAGGAACCATTATACGCTGAGCTTTAAACAATTCTAGGATTCACCGGAGGTTCCTTTTAGAATGAGATTGTATCAAGCAATAGTACTTTATGGGTGTATCTTCTATCAGCATACCAGTAAAGTGACAAAGTAAATTGAAAGCTGACTCGTAGGAAAAGCTTACATACAATTTTGCACGTTGACATTAGTTACCCTCACATGAGTTTTATATGATCTCATCAGGTCTGCCAAGGTGACAAAGCAGTGTGTCTCTTGGCCCATTCTCTCCTGAATTGCATTCTTTTTAATACACAACCCAATAAATTTTTTTTTCCTTGAGAAGTTTCCAGTTGCTATAGCTGGAATATCTAAATGGGAACAAACTAATGCCCAAGAACTAGGTCAACAAATTCATGGCACTTGTTATGGCAGACATTGTAAAATGTTCCCGGCATGCTTTTCCCGTGTCTGGATAGGGCCTTGTCCTCAACACGAAGTTGCAGACTATCTGCTGCCAACTCCAAGGAAGTTTTTTATCCTTGTTCTGGAACTTGCTCTTTAAGTCTCACATGTTACCTTCTTTTTGGCCACTTGCCTCATTCTCAGAACAGTAATGTGATTAGGTGGAGGATACAGCAGGAATAATCTTTTTGCTGAAGTAATCATAACTGACAAATCCAAACAGGTTTATCCCAAGTAGCTTTCTCACCTCCCAGAAAATCTCCCTTTGCTGTCAGTATCAGGGTAAGGCCTCCAAGAGCTTGTTTGCACCTCTAGAAAATGGAGATCAGTAGTTGCTCAAGGAACATGGATTATTTATTGCCTCCTACTTCCTACTTAATCCACTATTTGTAGATTAAGATTGAAGAGATTTTTCTCAAAGATTTACTTATTTGAGAGAATCCTCAAGCAGACTCTGCTGAGCACGGAGCCTGATGCAGGGCTTGATCTCACAACCCTGAGAACACAATCTGAGCCGAAACCAAGAAATGCTTAACCGACTAAGCCACCCAGGCGCACCCCTAGAAGAGATCTTTAAATAAATAATTATATATAAATGCTTGAGAGATGCAGCTAGAGTTGTGCTCTATACAGTCTTAAATGCTATTAAAATCCTGAAAAGTTGGCAAGTGAATATAGGAAAAACAAAATAGAAGAAATGAGCGTAAATTTAAAAACAAAATCTACCACAGAAAACACCACAAATTTATAATAGGCTTTGCCAAGGTTGTGTTTGAAAATACAAATAAAATTCATAAGCCTAATAAGCCTTAACGAGAGTCATCTAGAGTCAAAAAAGCTATCATGAATGAAAAAGGAGACCGGTGCATATCCTACAGATACCCAATCTCATTCATGAACAGTATTAGTGAACCAATACCAGTAACATAAAAACTTCAAGGCCAAATTGAGATTATTTCAGCAAGACTAGGTTGACTGAATGTAATCACCCAATGAAGAAAATCTAATAATTTCCAAAGAAGAAAAATTTTGAGAAATTCCAGTTAGGGGATCCCTGGGTGGCTCAGCGGTTTAGCACCTGCCTTTGGCCCAGGGCACGATCCTGTAGTCCCAGGATCGAGTCCCACGTCGGGCTCCCAGCATGGAGCTTGCTTCTCCCTCCTCCTGTGTCTCTGCCTCTCTATGTCTATCATGAATAAATAAATCTTTAAAACATATGTATTAAAAAAAAAGAAGAAAGTCCAGTTAAAAATGTTTGAAAGCTTCTTAGAGAATAAAAACAAAAGCCTCAAAAAAACAAACAAACAAACAAACAAACAAAACAAAAAAAGCCTCCAAGAAACTTCGGAGCAGAGAGGAGGGACGGAGGAACTTCCCTAACATAAGTAAGGGTATCCACATCTAACAAGCTATAAATAACATTCTGTAGTTGCTATGGATAGAAAGTTTATGTCTTCCTAAAATTCACGCTGAAGCCTAATCAATCCCTGATGTGATGGTATCTGGAAGGGCGGGGGGCACCTGTGGGAGGTGATTAGATCATGAAGGAGAGCCCTTCAGATTGGGCTTAGTGTCCCTGATGGAGATACGTTCTCCACCCTCTGAGGATGCAGCAAGAAGGCTGCAGGGCAAACAGTGGGCTCTCACCGGGTCCCAGATCCGCCAGCGCCTTGGTCTTAGACTACCAACCCCGAGAACTGAGAAAATAAATTGTTGTGTAAGCCACCCAGTATTTTTGTTACAGCAGCCTAAGACAACAGTGAAATGTTGAAAGCTTTTCCTATGAAAAATGAAATGAGATATTAATTCAAAACTGAGCATCCAAAAGAATCTACCTATGAACCTTTAGAATTAAATCAGTTTAGAAAGGTTGCTGAATGCAGGTCAAATATAGAAAAGTCAGTTTTATTATCAGCAAATGAAACATTAACTATTTCCAGTGGGGTCAAAGTATCAAATGCTTAAGAATAAATCCAAACAAAGTATGTAAGAACTCCATGCCGAACACCCCGAATTAGTGAGAAACTATTTAAATGGGGAAAGACACCATGTGCCCATGTGCACAGAAAAAGAGATAAAATGGCTTTTACTATCAATCCTTCCCAAATTGGCCTATAAATCTGATGCAATTCCAGCAAAATCCCAACAGATATTTTTTGAATTGGTGATGTCTTTTTGAGGATCTTAAACTGAATTGTAAACTGTACACACAAATGCAAAGGACCAAGAATAGACCCAATACTCCTGTAGGAAAAAAACGTAGGAATATTTGTAATACACAAGAATATAACACAATGTGGTACCGGCATGAGGAAAACCTGCAAGGCTAGTGGGTTGGACATACGCTGGACACAATCTATGAACAAAGGCAGCAAATCAATAATAAAAAATAGATAAAAGGGCAAGAGAGTCGAGTAGTCACAACCCAAAATGCTCACCAGTAGTATAAATTATGGTACATTCCTATAATGGAATATACAGCGATGAAAATGGAACCAGTTCCAATAGATGGAATAACCTGGATGCATCTTGATACCATACTCAATTTATATCAAGTTCAAAAACAGACTACAATTTTAGACATCAAAAGGTAGTTTGGGGCACTTGGGTGGCTCAGGTGGTTAAGTGTCTGCCTTCAGCTCAGGTCATGATCCTGGGGTCCTGGGATGGAGCCTCAGTGGCGGGATCTGCTTCTCTCTCTCCCTCTGCCTGTGCCTGTCCCCTCCCTGCTGGTGCTCTCTCTCTGTAATTTTTTTTTTTTTAAAGGTAGTTACATTTGAGGAAAATGATGATTGAAGAGAACAATGAGGAAGACATCTGAGGAGCTGGCAGTGTTGTTTTTTGTTTTTTTTTTTTAACCTGGGTAGTAATTATGAAGGTGTTTGATAACTGAGATGTACATTTTTTTAAAGTTTATGTACATTTTTAAAAATAAACTTTAAAAATTTTTTAGATTAACAGAAAAATTGCAACAAAGAGAGTTCCCACATATCCCACACCTAGGTTCCCCTATTATCAACATTTTATATTGGTGTATTTGTCACAATTAACAAACCAACAAATCAATATTGATATATTAACTAAAATATACTGTTCGGATTTATCTAGTTTTCACCCAACGTCCTCTTCTGATCCAGGATTACATTACATTTACCTGTCATGTCTCCTTGACTATAATAATATTTCAGACTTTCCTGGGTTTTTTGTTTTTGTAAGATTTTTTTTTTTTAGAGCAGTTTTAAGTTCATAGCAAAATCAGGAGGAAGCAGAGATTTCCCATATACTCCCTTCCCCCTCACATGCACAGCCTCCCCTACCATCAACACCCCCTATCAACATGGGACATTTGTTGCAACTGAACCACCCTGACAAATTAGGGATTATTCTTGGTGTTATCCATTCTAGGGGTTTGGGCAAACGTCTGAGATGGAGCTACCCTTAGTGTCATACAGAGTAGTTTCACTGCCCTAAAAATCCTGTGCTCCACCAATCATTCTTCTCTCCCCTTGAACCCCTTATCTTCTAATGGTCTTCACGGTTTTGCCTTCTCTAGGATATCATACAGTTGGAATCACACAGTTGGTAACCGTTTCACATTGGCTTCTTTCACTCAGTAATATTAAGGTTTCTCTGTGCCTTTTGGGGGCTTGATAGTTCATTCCTTTTTTCCCATCGTCTGGATGTACACTCAACTACTGAAGGACATCTTGGTTGCTTCCAAGATTTAGCAATTATGAATAAAGCTGCTAGGAATGTCCAGTGTGCAGGTTCTTGTGTGGATATGTTTCCCATCATTGGTTTTTACAATCAAAGAGCATATACGGTTTCTATAATCACTAAAATACTTTAGAAAGAAAATCAGTGCATTTGGTTATATAAGAACAGACAGACAATTGAAAGGAATTTTAATTGACTCATCACAAAGCACTGAGCAAGCAAAATAATGTTAATAGAAAATTTTAAATAAAATATTTAAAACAAAAACAGCAGTGCAGAAAACAGCATTAAAATGTTGGCATAATCACACACATTTCAACAATTCCACATTCTTTTTGGAATCCAGGCTTCTAAACTTGGGGAACATGGTAACTTATAGGAAAATAAAAGAATGCAGATGAACTGACTCTACAGAGTCACAACACAGAAAATTTCCCTAGAGTCCTATTGCCAGATAAGTAGTTATATGAATTTTAAAATCAAAACAATATGAATAATTCTTTGTTCTTTAAAGTAAGTATCCAAGAATTATACTAGAAAAATGTGCGCATACTGAGCTGTATTTATATAATGTCATTACATTCTCTGGCCCATCAGGCTAGATACATTTATTTACTAACCTCAGTTATATATTACTCTTCACTTTGTCAGAACGTTTGCCAGACTTCTCAGAGCAAGATGTATCTTAAACATTCAAACATTTAAAGAATGTAGCCATAGGAATCATCTAATCCAACTGGGGATCCATTTTGTTAATGACACTGATCCTCAGTAACAAGCGCACTAAAGGTGAGTAGCACAATCAGCATTTTCACACACTGAAATTCATGAAATGACAATAGTGCAACTATTATGTTTAACTGTAATTAAGTGTGAAGACAGGTATGTTTTTCAAAAGGATTAAAACCCTAAGCTACAGAATTGTGTTACATAAAAGGATATGGAAATCTTACTCATTCTTTACAATAAATATGGGAGAGTCCTCTTAAAAATTAAAAATTCAAGACACTTTCTAAATACTTTCAAACTGAGTTGCTCTAGCCAACACCTATAAAGTGAGAATTTTGTGTACAGAATTCAGGAATTACCTTTAAAGGCAGGGCATGGAAATTATTTGCCTGTCTTTAAATTTTGCTATTTGCCTCTGATTGAGCATGAGATAATCCTGGTGCCAAAGTCTGCTTTATAAAAGATAAGTGGTCACATATCTGTGGAAACCACCTTGTTTTGTCAATGTTTTTATGTAGGAGGCATGTCATTTTCCAGTTATAGCTACAAAGTTTCATAATTAAGGATTCCAGTGCTGGACAGAATTTTTTTTGAATACCCAGATAATTTTCAACAAATTTATCTCTCACTTTTTAATTCATAAGGAACAAAGCTGATACAGGTTTATGTGTCTCTGTGTGCATCTTAGTATTTTTGTTTTGATATTTGTTAAATAGTTCACATTTAACAAATGTGTCTGAAGCCATCCACATAGTAACTGTTCTATAGTAGACACTGGGCTCAACTATTAAAATTGTATACAAGGAAATTAGGGGTGTTGCAGTATTTGGTTGCAAATAACTTGCCATCTGGTGTTGGGTCAGAAAATGCTATTTCGTCAGTCCTGAGAAAACAGCCAAACATGAAGCAGTTCCTAAAGAAGAGGAAAAGACAATTTAATCCTAAAGAAAAGGAAAAGACAATTTAACAATGAAATCAACTTAAAATTCTAATTATATATATATTTTTGTCTCCTTCAAGAAAAAGCAATTCATATATAAAATTTCAATTTCTTTAAATTCTCTTGATTACAATAAAAAATATTTTAGTAAGTGATAAAGTGATTTAATGCCTTAGATTTTAGAGGTGGAAGTCTAATGATACCATTTCACACATGAGCACACTGAGGTCCAGAAAAAATTCTGCTGAGATGCAAAAGGAACCATTCAAATTATGTAGCTGACTCGAGAGGATCCATGGTAATGAGCAACAAACAGGCGGTAATATTGCTGACTAAAAGCAATAGTGCATTAAAACCAAAAACTCACCATCAACAACTTTAACCAACAACTATTCTCCTCAACCACACCACACACTCGGAGCTTAAAAGAGGCAAAAACTAACCTGCATTTTGACCACAACTCTCCTGACCCAGCTCAGCCAGGATTAAAAGTAATACAATGAAACGGTTAAAAGAATTCAACAAAATTGAAGGAAATTCCATAAAGTAGCCAGTACTCTTCAGATTCTTCAATGCCATAAAAGACAAAGACTAAGAAACTATTCCAAGTTAGGAAAGATGACAAAAGAGCTAGGACAACTATGCAATGTGATTCTGGCAAGAAAAAAAAATGCTATGAATATGAAGGACATTGGAGATAAATGACAAAACTGAAATATGGACAGTATGTCAGATAAAAGCATTCCATTAACATTAAATATCCCATATATGAGGACTGAAGTGTGCTTATGTAAAAGACTATCTTTGGTGTTAAGAAATATGCGCTGAAGCACTAAGGGCTAAAGGGACATCATGCACATAAATCAGAAAGCAAATGTTACAACTTGATGAATCTGGGCAAAGGTAAATAAGGGCTTTTTACTATTCCTGCTACTCTTTTATAGTTTTGAAGTTATTTCAAAAAATATATAATTAAAGACTGGATTCAATGAGAAGATAGATATAAGCATATGATAATATGTAATTTTGTACAAGGTTTATTGCTAAATTTCCTAGAATCCAAAGCAAAACACTGGTTTGATTAAACAGATCTTACTGTCTTTACAGGTGATAGCAGCTATGGAAAGAATTTCAGATCTGTGGGTTCGAGTCCTGTCATTTCATTTGCCTGTCAGTATAGATGTGTACTAATAATCCCCAGGTGAGCCTCAAGTTGCCTATATCAAACAACTAGGAACAATATTCGACTCTTATGAGGATTAAACATATATTGCCTGTACAGACAAGAGAGAACTGAACCCAAAGCTCTTCATTACAGGATTGCTGCCAATTACCTGTATCTCCAACTCACAGATGTGAGAAGAGATGTGTTCTCAAATGAATGTTTTTATTTCTCTGCTAAAGGTAACTTAATTTTTTATTCATTATTGCTTATAGATAACCTATTGCTTTGGTACCCAAAGTATGATCTACAGACCAGCAACATTCTTCATCACCTCAGAGCTTATCAGGAATGCAGAATCTCAGGTCCCACCCCAACCGACCGAATCATACCTGCATTTTAACAAGATCCCCAGGTGATTCATACAGACTTCTAAGTTTGAGAAACATTAGACTAGACTGGTGGAACTAGGTTAGATACTGGTATTACCCATGCCAAATTTATGCATTCCTTAAAAAATATAGAAAATAGAGGTATTTCATAATTAACCATCAAATAAAAATCTTTACAGACACTAATTTTTCTCACTGTTCCCCTTTATAAGGTATGTACAGGGGACTAGGATTATGGCCCAACACTGGATCCCACAATGGTCTTGGGTGTTCTTTCTTAAAAAGTGCATAGGATTCAAAAGGCTAGAATAGCACTACTCAAAGTGTGGTCACTGGATTGTAACCTCTTAACTTATGTATAGAAGTCGAGAGAGTAAGTTGTGTGAAACTCATTCAAGCAAACCTACATCAGGTACATCTACAAGCAAGAAATAAGTCCATTTGTCACATTAAGAAACTTCAAGTAATTAAATGTTAGTTGAAAGTGTGCACCTGGGAGTTTAAAATGGCAAATCACTTTTTTTTTTAATTTTATTTATTTTATGATAGTCACACACAGAGAGAGAGAGAGAGAAAGAGGCAGAGACATAGGCAGAGGGAGAAGCAGGCTCTGTGCACCGGGAGCCCGACGTGGGATTCGATCCGGGGTCTCCAGAATCGCGCCCTGAGCCAAAGGCAGGCGCCAAACCGCTGCGCCACCCAGGGATCCCGCAAATCACTTATTTTTTACTGAGATATAATTCATACATCATAAAACTCACTCTTTAGAAGTGTACAATTCTGTGGTTATTCGTATACTCACACAACTGTGGAACTACCAATATCCGTTCCAGAACAGCTCATCATCCCAAAAAGCAACCCTATACCTATCAATAGTCACTCTCCATTTACCCTGCCCTCAGTCCCTGGAAACTACTATTTTCTGTTCTAGATATTTTCTGTAAATGGAATCATACAATGCAGGGTCTTTTGTCACTGGCTTATTCCAATGAGCATACTGTTTCCAAGGTTTATCCATGTTGTAGTAGATGTCAAAACTTCATTCCTTTTTATGACCAAATAATATCCCATTGTGTTATTGTACAGAAATGCCACATTGTATTTATCCACTAATCATAAATTTGGTTGTTTACACTTTCTTGGCTCTTAAAAAAATAATGCTGTTATAAAACTTTATGTACTAGTTTTTATATGGACACTTGCTGTCATTTCTTTTGAGTATATACCTAGGAGTAGAATTACTGGGTCATATGGTTAACAGTTTAGTTTTGTGAGAAACTACAGACTATTATTCCATAGCAGCTGTACCATTTTACATTCCTACCAGCAACATACAAGGATTCCAATTTTCTCCACAATATTTGTTCCTCACGAATACTTGTTATTTTCCTTTTTTTTAAATTTTTATTTATTATTTATGATAGTCACACACACACACACACACACACAGAGAGAGAGAGAGAGAGAGAGAGAGAGAGAGAGGCAGAGACACAGGCAGAGGGAGAAGCAGGCTCCATGCACCGGGAGCCCGACGTGGGATTCGATCGATCCTGGGTCTCCAGGATCGCGCCCTGGGCCAAAGGCAGGCGCCAAACCGCTGTGCCACCCAAGGATCCCTATTTTCCCTTTTTTTAAAAAAAAAATTTATAGTCACGTTAGTGAGTGTGAAGTCGTGGTATCTCATCACTGTTTTGATTTGCAAATCCTCGATAGCAGCCATATATATTTCTTCTTTGGAAAACTGTATATTAAAATCCTTTGCCCATCTTGAAATTGGGCTGTCTTTCTATTGCTGCACAGTAAGAATTCTTTCATATATACTGGTTATACTAGACCCTTATGAGATGAATAATTGGAAAATATTTTCTCCCATTTTGTGGGTTGCCTCACTAATTCAGTTTTATATTTAGCTATATATATGAGTTAATAGTAAGTCTTCGCTAATTACCTGGTCACATACCAGTTCATGAATATGTGCAATTTCTGTAGTTCTTTTTATAAACTTATATTTTATTTGTATAAATTATATTTAGTGCATGTTAACTTTTTTATATCTGCTGAGTCTAATAAAAATTTGGGCTTGTATCTTCCATTTTTTTATTTTGTTTTTCTATTTCACTTTCTAGCAATTCATCTCATTTTATTAAAGTGTTGGTCTATAACTAAACTAGTTTTTCACTGCAGGTAGTTTGATTAGCACTGGGCTATAATGTTCATACTTGGAATGTTGTGCCCTAAACTGAGTGAGTACATCTGGGGGGGGGGGTTCCCCCTCAAGTGCCAACACTTGCCTTTGCCTGACTTTGATAGTACTTAAACAGAAGTGTCTTAACATCATCATCATTCCCTTTGACTCATGAGCCTGGAAAGGTTCTGGGAAAGCTAATCTGGGCCTAGATCCATTTTATGTTATTTCTTACCTGAGTGTATCTACCAATCGTCTTGCGATGCGCTTTCTCCGTTTCAACCTGAAGACCCAGATTCTACTTATTCCACATACTGCAGGCTGTGGTACATCTGAACATTGCCAAGCCCGGTGACATTCTTTAGAGCTTACAGATTCTGGACCAGTTGGTTCAGAAAGGACACGGAAGGCCTGCAATAATATACAGATGCATATAGAGCTAGCAATACAGTTGAGTTTACATTTCTCTTTAAAAATCATTCCTTAAACAAGACTTAAGTATCTAAAATTAATCTTATACCTTCACCAAAAATGTTAAAATTCTGGCGCTTTTTGAATTCTTATCCATTTATAGTGACACAATGCTTAAAAAAATACTAGTGACGTTGAGATATTCCCACATTCTAGTGTATTACATACCATTATGAAACTTCCTTCTTCTGACTAAAAAAATTATAAAAATCAGACTCTTCCTTTTAATATGGTATATAAAGCTCTCCCATTCTCTCCAGCCTAAACTGTATGATATCCTAAGAAACTGATAACACTAAGGAAGATTTTTGCATATTAACTATGAAATTTGGTCAGCATTTAAGGACTTTTTTAAACTTCCTATTTTGAAATAATGTATCCTTCACCCAGTTTCCTCTGTAACTAACCTATAATACCAAAACCAAGGGATTAATACAGGTATTAACATAGGCATATTGTTCTATGTCATGGAGCAATTCATAATACCTGCATAATCATTTAAGCACCACCACAGCCAACCTGTATACAGAGCTACTCTATCATCTCAAAGATCTTTTGCTACCTCTGTATAACAATACCCACCTTTCCCCCTTCACCATCTCTAAGCTCTGGCAACTTCAATCTGTTCTCTACCTCTATAATTCTGTTTTTTTTTTGGAGGATGTCATATAAATGGACTCATACATCATGTGACCTTCTGAGATTGGCTTTTTTTCACTGGTACCATGCCCTGACATATATCCAAGCTGTTGCATATATCAACAGTTTGTTCCTCTTAATTGCTAAGTAATATTCCATTCAATGGATGTACCAGTTGTGTAATCATTTACCTACTGAAAAACACTTTCATTGTTTCCAGGCTACTACAAATAAAACTGCCATCCTCATTCGGGTATAGGGTTTTGTGTGGAGTAAGTTTTCATTTCTCTGGGATAAATGCCCAGGAGTAAGATTGCTGGGTCATACGAAAAACCTAGGATTATTTTTTTAATATTCTATTTAAATTCAATTTATATGATTAATTTTTTTTTAAAGAAACAGTCAGGGTGCCTGGGTGGTGCAGTTGGTTGAGCCTCCAACTCCTGGTTTCAGCTTGAGTCATGATCTCAGGGTCGTTAGATTGGGCCCTACGCTGGCACCATGCTCGGCGTGAGTCTGTTTTGGACTGTCTCCTCTCTCTGCCCCTCTCCCACTGTGTGTGCACACATGCTCTGCTCCCTCTCTCTGAAATAGATCTTTAAAAAAAAAACAAAAAAAAACTAACAAATGTTTTACAGTCTTAACATTCTATGTCCCCTCCAACAATGTCCAAAAGACCTAGTTTCCTTGCATCATTCCCAGCATTTGGTATTGTCACAATTTTTTTAGTGTAGCTGCTCTGATAGCTGGGTACTTAATTTTTACCATCAAGAAAACTGCTTTTGAAATAAAAAGAAGAGAATATGTTGGCTATATTTGCCTATCATCACTACATATACAGTCTACTTCTTTAAAATAAAAGGCCAAATTGATCATTAATACAAACCAGCTATTTTTTTGCTCCAACTGTTGATAAACACACAGGAGACTATATTATGTGTGTACATACATATGTGTCTGTGTGTGTGTATATATATGTGTGTGTGTGATTTATGTATGTGATATATGTGTGTATATGCACACACACACACACACATATATATAAAAAGAGAAAATATGAAAGAGCAATAAAGAGAGTAGAAATGAGGGGCACCTGGGTGGCTCAGTCAGTTATGTGACTGGCTCAGGTCATAATCTCAGGGTCTTGGGCTCCCCACTCAGCCAGGAGTCTGCTTCTCCCTCTCCCCTCTGCCCCCTCCCCACTTGTTTGTTCTCTCTCTAATACATACATATAATCTTTAAAAAAAAAAAAAGATAGAAGTGAGAGGAGAAAGGGAGGCACTTACACAAAGGTGTAAGATAAATTTATGTTAATATCTTTTTAAGACATTTTAAGACAATATTTTTAAAAGGTAGGCGACATCAGTGTGTGATACTATAAAGTCAGGTAAAAAAGAACACACTTGAACTATAATTCTCTGTAGCTAAAGATTATACTATAATCATCTTGAAGGCAAAAATTTTATCTCTTTATTCTAGAATAAAAGTTGGCAACTTTTAGGTTCTTTGGGCCATGTGATCTCTGTTACAAAAACCAACCACAGATGATATGGAAATAAGCATAGCTGTGTTCTAATAAAATTTTATTTATAATACAGGGTAGTGGGCCAAACTTGGTCCAGGGGCTGAAGTTTGCCAACTCCTCGTCCAGAACATTGCTAATTAGCACCTAATATAGATTCTAATTAAGGAACAATAATTATTTTGCCAAATATATTAACCTGCACTAAGTCACATGTACAATATCTGGGCTCTATAGATTTGCTTATTTAAAATCACTGTATTTTATAGTCCAGGTATGGAAATGACCACATGAACATAAGACTGACTTACTTATTCTGCTTACATATGACAAAATGCCAAATATAATAGAACTAAATGACTTCAATTATTGATATGGCCAAGGATACTTTTGGAGGTGGAAAAAGTCATTAATAGTATTCTTAAATGCTTATTGAGATTTCACCCAACTACGTTTTTGCTCACACATTACACTAATAATTTAAGACATATACCATACCTGTTTGATGGGCTCTGCAATTAAACACCCAACTACTTTCTTATCATCAGATACGAAGAGAAAAGTCTTGGTTTTGTTTGGACATCTGGGAACAACTTGGTGGAAACCCAATTCATTATCAACAAGTTCTTGGACATCTTCTACCTAACGATGTTAAAAACCAAAAGAGATTAACTTGTTTTAAAAAGAATAGAAACTAACTATATATATATTTAATAAATATATAAAAATATATGTTTATATATACAAAATTTGTGATTACTATCATTTTAGCTTTTTACCTCTATTTCCTAAAATTTACACACTCCTCAAATTACTTTACTATTGATGCAGCATCTGCCACTTTGGAAACAAGGTTTGAAAAACATATTTTACAGATCACTTTCAACAAAAAGAAATGCAGACTCCTGGGGGAATCAGGAGTGGAAAGTGCCAAAACAGATTTTGTTTCAGCTTTATTCATTGTTCACTGGGGGCTCAACATCTAGCCCAAGAAACAAACACCACCACTAGAGAAATATATTCTGGGGCCATTAACGTCTCAATATTGAAAAGTTTAGTTTACTTTTCACAAGTAAAAATGAAGGTAAAGGATAAAACAGATAACTGTTTTCTTTAATCTTTGACTGACACTTTGTCTTATAATTCCAAATTTAGGTTTATATAAACCACTATGGAAGTCATCCCTGCATGAGCACCAAAGTGGATTAGCTCTCAGGAAAGGTTTTTTATAAGTCAAACTACGTTGATTTCTTGGTGAGAGGAGAAAGAGGGAGTAGGAGGAGAAGAAGGATTAAAAAACGAATGCTCCATACCTTTCTGATAGCATAACTTGGATCACGTGGCAGAACCAACACAATTTTCCCATCCCAAAACTCTGCTACAACACGTTCTTTTTTCCAGCCCTGACCAAAGAAAAAAAGTCACAGTTTAATTTGAAGAGGGGGGAGAAAAACATTAAATAGTCCGGAAAGAACAAAAAGATGAACAATGAAGGATATGAAAAAAGAGACAATTTATCTAAAGGCATACGAAAAGGGAAATAAAAGATGCCTAAAATAAAGTGCCTGTCCTCAAGAGCTGACACTCTAGAAGGAGATATGTACATAATCTACTACAAAATAAAGCAAAATCAATTAAAGAGCCCTTCATAGGAATATATAGGAAAAAAAAAAGATGAATTATTAGGAGTAGGAAGGTGGAAGAGGGCTAAGATAAGCAGTTTTAATAAAACACACTAAAAATATAGGAAAAAAGATAATCCACTTGAGTAGCAGGCACAAATCACAAAGGCCAACAATAGAATGTATTGGACTAGAAAGGTGCTTTATAAAAAGGTGGAACCTCTCTTATCAGAAAAGAAAAAGCCTGCAGAAGCCACAGAAAAGCTGTTTTTCTAATCCTATCTACAAGAAAGAAAGTAAAGTGAGGAGATGCAGGGAAGTGGAGTCTCTTTAACTCTTTAAGTTTTGTATTCTAAATTGTTCAGCTCCGCTCAAAAGGCTAGAGTTGACGATGAAGGGTGTTCAATCAACCTAGAACAATACTTCTATTAGGATAGAAAGTTTGAAATAGCACTTTTATTAAAAGTTAACTTTTAAATATCATCAACCTCAAGTATAAAGACAACACAACTGGAGATGGTATTTATGGATATATAAACCTTTCAATGTTTAAGCAAAAGAAATGTATCTTTTAAAGCAGTTTTACTTTTAGAACAAATTGAAAGCCTATTTTTTACTTACTGTGTATTTGATTCCCTCCAGAAATCTGTGGTGATGCCTAACATGCTGCAGTTCATCTTCAGGGTTGGAAGCAGTATAGATCATGCCACAAGACTTACACACAGTGGTTCCAAAATGTTTCTGACCTGCATCCTGTAATTGGGAAAAGAAAAAGTCCATCTTAAACATATCACAAATAGCTCTGTATTTAGTTCATGTAACCATTCATTCAAATTTCTCCCTAATTTTTCTTTTGTGCTGGCACGAGTAAAATACTAAATGAAAGTCTGGTTACTATATCCTCTTCCCCCATCTCCTAAACAAAATGGAATGAGAAGAGAACTTGACGAAAGAAATGAATTTTTATTTATTATACCATTTTGATGGCATAAAAAAAATGAACATTCTTTGGCAGACCCACAATTTTAGAAGGAATCAAATTAAATCATAAAGATAATAGCTAAGATAAATAATAGTTTCTTTACTAAGATCTTAAATGAGAGACCTGAAAAGGCCTTGTTTCAAAGAGGCAGGGGAAAAGTCTCAGGACTTGTATATTTATCATATTTTTTCCTTAAGTGATTAAGAATATTAAAATTATTTGCTGCAAGAGTTGATAAAAAAATATAATATATAATAAAAGTTCAGAAAAAGCATAAATTCATGAATACAGGAAAGTCAGGAATATTCAATTTTATGGCTTATTAACTTCCATTCTATCTCATGAGGTATTGTTTAATGCTACTGAAAATACCAAGTTCCGAATGAATACAGGGGGACTGGGAAACTTTTTCTGCAAAAGCACAGACAGAAAACATTTTAGGCTTTTTTTGTCTCACATTCTTCTCTTTTTCTTTTTTCCAACCCTTTAAAAACATAAAAGCTATTCTAAGCTTATAGGCCATTTGGTCCACGGCCATAATATGCCAACCCCAAGTCTAATACAGTGTAGTTATTATCATTAAATATTCTGTGGATCAACAAGAATTGTCCTTATCTGAAGACCACTCATTTATCAACAGTTTACTAAATTACTAGCATTGTCCAACATTAGGAGTTTGAAAATCTACTTGACTATCTTTAAATGCTATCACTACAACAAAGCTGGCATTTACAAAACTCAGAATGTCTGTAAACCATGTTAACTATGCTAAGACAACATGTATAAGCCACATGCACAAGAGAAGCTTTGTTTTAAATTTACTCACAATGATGAGCTGGTCTTCTGTTTCTTTATTTGTATCCCTGGCATTAGTACTTTTCTGCATGTTGATCTGTTTCAAGTTAGCAGATATGACGGATCCCACAGAAGACTGTTCTTCAACTAAAGATCTTTGAAATGAAAGTTAATAAACTATTACTATATTATTTAATTATTTGATAAACTAAAAATGTCGGAGGAATTACAATGAGAATAGATATGTACATATTTGCAGAGCACCTTGCAATTTTTATTGCTCTATTGACAGTAACTTGAAGTAACAGGGTTCAGAATAAGAAACCTGAAGCCCAGAGAGGATCAGTAGTTTACTCCAAGTAAATTAACTAGTAAAGAACGGCAGTTAGACACAAATCCTCATCTTCTAACTCCAAGTCCAAGGGACCCTCATTAATACTACCAGATGCACATATGCAGTCACAAGTTTACTTCTCTTAAAAAGTGATTTTTTTTTTTTGCTTTGCCAACTTTAGGGCAATGTTTACCCATGTAGACATAAAGAAATTCCAGTAGCAGCAGAGCAAATAAGTAGATTCTATTATTGAACTTCACAATTCCACAGGACATCAGCCACCAGCAATATTATGATCCAACAGCTCTACTTGGGCAGCTGGGTGAGGCTAACATATTCACTGGTCCTCATACCTAATGCACCACCCCACTAGTCTCAAATACTTAGGAAAAAAATATTTTGGCTGGATAGATGGTGTTGAGACAACCTGTTCTCATTAGGAAAGAATGTTGGGATTGGCTTACAGAGGTTGTAAACTGGAGGCTCTCAGGCCAAATCCAGCTAGCAGGTATGTTTTGATTGGCTTACACAGTGTTTAAAACTTTGGATTAGCTACCAATATTTCAATACCTAGAGATTTCACTTAAATATGTGTATTTCCAATATTGCAAGAGCCACTGTAAGATCACCAGACCATTCTTTCTTCAAAGAATGTAATTAACACAGCAGTGCATGTGCCTTTAGATGAGGTATACATTCTTCAGTTGGTTCCACTCTTCACCCAATCTCTGCAGGCCCTGAGTTTTTAACTCTTGTCTTATCATCAAAGACCCTGGTTTTCCAAGGACCAAAGGAATAAAAATCTGTGGAGAGTAAAGGTAAAAGAAAACTGGCAAGGAAAAAAGACAGGTGCCCACCAAAGTAAGAGATTCAGAGAAAACAAGTTAAACACACACACAGAAAAAATCTGTCCAGTGCTTCAAGACTAAGCCAAGCTATCCTGTATTTGACTAGAATGTCTTTCAAATTGACTTGACATTATGGTAAGAAATATATTTTACATTTTGACCAATACAGAAATATACATAAAACTAAAAACCAAGAAGTTTCACTAAATAATTTACTGTAAATAAATTACCGTGAGAGATGCATTATTCCACTTTAAAGATTCTGGATATGATGGTTTTAAACTGCTTGGACAAACCACCTATGGTACATGCCCATAATATAAAACACATTCTCTAGTTGCTTGGCCCTCTCCTGTTCCTTTACTAAGGAACTCCGCTCTTCCCATCCCTGCACATATGACCACAATCTTTATTTCTATCTTAGTAATTTTAATACTTCATCACATGCATTCATTTAAATGCCTGTCTTCTTCCAACCATAACTTCCATGATAGGACAATGTTTTATCTTCACAGCTCCAAAACTCAGTAATAGTTCAATACCATGTAGTACTCTATATAAATGTTTGCCAAAAGAGTAAACAAAGAGCCTGGAGAATCTGTAACCTATCTGAAGTAAAAGTCATAGGTTAATCCACAAGAGAATGAGGAGATCTGACCTTTGGGTCCTGAATAAAGAGAAACTTCAAATAATTTAACCAACCATATCCTAATATCTCCTTAGGCTAGATTAAATTAGTTTATATGCTGTTATCAGGTAATTGTGGTAGGTTTCAATCATCAATGAATAGTCATGAAAGACAGAAACTGGAAAAAAATGGAAAGGTGCAAAAACCTAGAAATATGGCCTTTAAAGAGGGAAAGTTGCCCACCCAACCCAATCTCAGTTAATTTATGGTGAGGTGCTCTGAAAAGTAGAACTTAGCTACAAGCTCCTTGCTCAATACCTCTAGTCATTTATCATCAAGTGGAGAGAGAAGGACCAAAGCCACTCAGGAAGATGTTAAGGCTATAAGAAACATCTTTTCCAGAGCTTTCCCATCTATTCTGTTCATACCCACCCATTCCTAAGATAGCAGCTTCAGCTGGGATTTCTAACAGCACTGAGCTGCTATAAGTTACTCCTCTGGCCAGTTTCCTAGTCTATAAAATGGGGGCAATAATAATGGTACCTACATCAGGAGGTTGTAAATGTTCGTCAAACATTAACTATTATTAATATGTAGTCACCCGGGAAAGGCAATATAATATAGCTGAATGGGCTTTAATCCAGATACAGATTCTAGTCATGGCTGCTAAGAGCTGTTGCAACTCAAAGCTGTGCAATTTTAACTGGATTACGATCAGTTTCCTTAGCTGAAAATGGAATCATTAATAGGATCTACCTTCTAGGTTGTTTTAAGAATCAAATGAGACAATATAAACTATTTCTTATGGGCTAGGTACTGTATAAAAATGTTAGCAAAATGGGGCACCTGGGTGGTTCAGTTGGTTAAGCTTCCACCTTTGGCTCAGGCCATGATCTCAGGGTCCTGGGAACGACCCCCGCATCAGGGTCTCTGCTCAGCAAGGAGTCTGCTTCTCCCTCTCCTCCTCCCCCTTGCTCGTCCTCTCTTACTCTCTCAAATAAATAAAATCTTTAAAAAAAAATAATTTAGCAATTATTGTTGCTCAAACCCATGAAGATTTTTCCCTTCTCTCAACCCTTAGGTTCTTACAAAGTTTCTATGAGAGGGCCTCATTTCATCTTACTTTCAATATCCCCTTGGTGGGCAGGTATAAAAATACTCTCCCAATTAAATAGTGCAAGAAAGAAAGATACCCAGAGAACTCAAAAAAATTTTTTTAAAGATTTTACTTATTTATTCATGATAGAGAGAGAGAGAGAGAGAGAGAGAGAGAGAGAGAGAGAGGCAGAGATACAGGCAGAGGGAGGACCAGGCTCCATGCCAGGAGCCCAACGCGGGACTCGATCCCGGGACTCCAGGACCGCGCCCTGGACCAAAGGCAGGTGCTAAACCGCTGAGCCACCCAGGGATCCCTGAGAACTCAAAATTAAGTAAACTTTAAACACTGAAACAAGAGCCATCCTTACCTTTTTGTATTGACTGAAGACACACTGAAGATAGGATAGACAATGGACTCAGGAGAAACTGGTCAGGGGGGAAAATGACAATAATTATGTTAGAAAATAAACTCAAAACTTTAATTCATAAAATTTTAAAGGTTAATATGACAAAAATATCCCAATCACTTCATTTCAAGACTTAACAAGTAATCAAGGCTGTATGGTATTGTCAAAAGGACATCTAGATCAACAGAACAAAATAGCCCCAAACAGACCCCCGCAAATACAGCCAACTGATTTTTGACAAAGAGACAAAAGTAATTAAACAGAGAAAGGATGGGCAACAAATGGTGCTGGAACAATTGGACAGTCATATGCAAAAAATCCTGGCAACACTTTTCCATAAAAATTAACTCAAAATGGGGTGTGCCTGGATGGCTCAGTGGGTTAAAGCATCTGGCTCTTGGTTTGGGCCCAGGTCATAATCTCAGAGTTGTAACATCAAGCCCTGCTTCAGGCTCCATGCTCAGCTTGTCCCTCTCCCTCTGCCCCTCTCTCTCTCCCTCTCAAATAAAATCTTAAAAAAAAAAAAAAATTAACTCAAAATGGATCACAGATCTATATGCAAAATGTAAAACTATATAACTTTTAGAAGAAAACACAAGAGAGGGACACCTGGGTGGCTCAGGGGTTGAGCGTCTGTCTTTGCCCAGGGTGTGATCCTGGGGTCCTGGGATCGAGTCCCACATCAGGCTCCCTGCATGGAACCTGCTTCTCCCTCTGCCTGTCTCTGCCTCTCACTCTGTGTGTCTCTCATGAATAAATAAATAAAAGAATAAAAGAATAAATAAGTAAGAGAAAAATCCACATGAACATGGATTTGGGTATGTTTTTACATATAACATCAAAAACACAATACATAAAAGAAAATATTAAGCTGAACTTTATCAAATTTAAACATTAGCCGTGATGGTAAGGGATCCCAAGATGAAATGCAGACTGTGACAAGTGAATCTAACTGTATCAGAACTGTATGGGATAACTGCAATGAAAGAAGTATGGGAAGAATGGGCAGCTGACTTTACAAAACTGTGTTTTAACTAGAAATTAGAAGGCTAAAGACAAAAGGACTGAAAATATACTCTTAACTGGTATATATTTCTTACAGGAGTGTGAATTAACAATTCTGAAATTATTGTGCAGGTGTAGTGGGACTGAACAATTAAGTGGGTGGATGGTGAACAGTGGGAACCAGGTTTTCCACTGTCTGTGGGAAGCTATGGATAAATAAGCAAGGAAGGGATACAGGTTATGGTACTGGATTAGAGTCAGAGACATTAGGTTTGAACTTGTGTTTATTTAGTTATCTGTACAGATGGAGAGACATAAGAACAGCTACAGACGTGTGTTTACGTGAGTTTACATGGGTTAGTATATATACATCTAGTTCCTAGTTTCGTCTGCTGACAGGGCATAGAAGCAATGACACACCGGGAACAGTGAGCACAAGTTCAGATCTTGGTTTCTAAATAGAAACCCAATGGAATTAGTTTCCTTGGAGAAATGGCTGATTCTAGGACTGGGGCAGGGGAAATACAAGATGAGCCCAGAGCACCCTGAAGTGCCGGAAAGTAAAGAAGCGTTCAAAAAACAAAAGGATGGGACATGCCAAAGAGAAGGACCTGAAAAGACCTTCTCATGGTCAAAGCTAGAACAATCTGAACAGTAGAATAATGTAGTATGCCATTATCACCCAAAATAGAAAATATTCATGTGTCCCTACTAGTAAGTATCCATGAGTCCATTTATTTAAAGATCGAATAAATAATGAGAAGAGAAAACATTTCTTTACAGAAGAATGCCAAATAAAATATGCAAGTAATTCTCCCTCCAGATGATGGAGCTTAAAATCCCCTCCCTGAAAGGATGGGCTAGACTTAGTGATTTACTTCCAAGAATAGAGTATGGAAAAGGAATACGAGGGCAGCCCAGGTGGCTCAGCAGTTTAGTGCCACCTTCAGCCCAGGGTGTGGTCCTGGAGTCCCGGGATCAAGTCCCACATCAGGCTCCCTGCATGGAGCCTGCTTCTCCCTCTGCCTGTGTCTCTGCCTCTCTCTCTGTCTCTCATGAATAAATAAAATCTTTAAAAAAAAAAAAAGAAAAAAAGAAAAGAAAGAAAGAAAGAAAGAAAGAAAGAAAGAAAGAAAGAAAGAAAGAAAGAAAGAAAGAAAGAAAGAAAGAAAAGGAATAGGAATAGGAAAAAACTGCAAACCTGATCTTAACCAAATGACAGGTTAACATCATCTGTAATGTCATTTGGATATCAGTACTCCCTCCCAACTAAGTGTGGTGAGAAGCATACTTCCCCTTAGTTGCATCTTCCCCAAAACCGGAAGGTCCAGTCGATTGATGAGACAAGGATCAGACAAACCAAAATTCGGGCCACTGTATAGGATAACTGGCCAATTAGTACTCAAGAAGGTCAAATCATGAAAAACATGGAACAAGCAAAAGACTGAGTAAATGTCAGAGCAGAGGAGATAAACGAGACATAACTAAGTGCAATGTGGTACCCTGGACTGGATCCTAGAACAGAAAAATGCCATTAATGGAAAAACTGGTGAGCTCCAAATAGAGGCCAGCATTTAGTTAATAGTAATGTGCTAATAACATCAGTCTCTTAGTTTTAACAAACGTGCCATGGAGATAGAAAATGGTATAATGGGGGGGGAAATAGGGTGAGAGATATCCAGGAGCTCTCTGCATTTTTTTTTTTGGCAGTTTCTTTTTTTTTATTATTATTATTATTTATGATAGAGAGAGAGAGAGAGAGAGAGAGGCAGAGACACAGGCAGAGGGAGAAGCAGGCTCCATGCACCGGGAGCCTGACATGGGATTCGATCCCGGGTCTCCAGGATTGCGCCCTGGGCCAAAGGCAGGCGCCAAACCGCTGCGCCACCCAGGGATCCCCTGCATTTTTTTTTTTAAGATTTTTATTTATTTATTCATGAGAGACACAGAGAGAGAGGCAGAGACATAGGCAGAGGGAGAAGCAGGCTCCATGCAGGAAGCCTGATATGCGACTCGATCCCAGGACTCCAAGATCATGCCCTGAGCCAAAGGTAGATGCTCAACCGCTGAGTCACCCAGGCGTCCCTCTGCACTGTCTTTTTAACTCTTCTATAAATCTAAAATTACTGCACAATAAAAAGCCTATTTTAAAAAAAGGACCAGGCATGCCTGACCAGTGGCTCAGTCATTAAATGTCTGCCTTCAGCTCAGGGCATGATCCCAGAGTCCCAGGACCCAGTCCACATTGGGCTCCCTGCAGGAATCTGCTTCTCCTTCTGCCTATGTCTCTGCCTCTCATGAATAAATAAATAAATCATCTTTAAAAAGAAAATAAAAAATTTTTAAAATTTAAAAAAGGACCAAAGTAAAAATAGCAGTTGACTAGAGAAAAATATATTGCAAGTGGGTTATGTGGTAAAAGGTAAAAAGCAAACTTTTAACTTTCCATTGAAAAATAAGAGCCCGTTTAAAAAAGAAAAAGAGCCCGTTCTCTAGAAATAAGGACAAGACAGGTCTGATCTGCTGTAGGTAAGTTACTTAACGTAAGTTTGTTTCCTCTACTATAAAATGCGTATACAAATCCATTTCCTAGGGTTGTTGTAAGAAAAGATAAATTGTAATTAAGTAATAAACTTTTGCCATTTGTATACTACCTTTATCAATTTTGCCATATCCTCATACCATCTGTATTATTTTTTATTCATTAGTTTTCTTTAAATGAACTTTGTGTAGTGAAATAAATTTATTAAAAAAAAAACTTTATACTGTAAAGAGAAAGCCATTATTGTTCTGTTACATGTTCTATTATATCAGTAATAGCACAACCCATGTGAAGCCTGACACATACTAAAACTTAGCACTAAAAAAAAAAAAAAAAAAAAACTTAGCACTGCCTGGTACCTATTCAGCACCTAGTAAATATTAGTTATTAGCAGTGTATCTCAGAATTATCATTATTGACAATTCTTCTATATATATCATTAGATCCTCTTAAGGACTATTGTTCCAGATTATGCTTTTAGTTTTATCTTTGTTTTCTTCCTACGAACTGCAGTTTCTCACTTCAATCAACATATATACTCCTAGGATTTTCATTTATTTCCAAACTTACCGATATAACCAACAAAGTAAAGTGACCAAGAATCTGGTTGGTAAAACAAAATGTTAATTAACCTCTTTATATATTCATAGTTTAGTAAATACTGTTTTTTTTTTTTTTTTTTTTTTTTTAGTAAATACTGTTTAATCGAACAATGATACCACAAGTTAGTAATGGGATTTCAGAAGAGAAATATAAAAATGAAGACTAACCTCTTACTTTAGAGCTCTCCTCCCTAGATCACATAGCTAATTAGTGGTAAACCTAAACAAAATCCCAAGGTTCCTGATGCCCAATTCAGTGTCCTTTCTATGGCTTTGTAAATTATCTTACAATAAGGCTTTGATCACAAATATGTAACACAAATTGTTTTTACTCCTTCCTATAATTTTGGGTAAGATAAGTAGGTTAGGTGTGATGAGAAGACTGCGTTTTAGGGAGCTTAAGTAACTTGATCACATCGCATGAACCAACCATACATCTGTATTTAAATTCCTGCCTAACATCTCCGCCTCTCCTCTGTCTCCCTTGTTTTTAAAATGCACCATGTTGCTTATCAAAGAAAAAGGTGTCACTGAGATAAACACAAAGATACAAACACAAGCACACCACATACTTGAATAAAAAAAAAAAACCAACACAGTATTGTATATAACTCCATATTGACTCATGTAATGAATTATCACTCTAAATAAATAAACTCATTTTGAGAAGTTTTCTCTTACTTACCCGCCTTGTTTTTACTGAGAGAATCCTCTGAAGGAAAACACGCATTTTCATTAGGTTTACGTTCTCTTAAAGAAACTACTCCACCAAATGAGTCCTGAAATAATGAATAGAGAAAATTAAAGGAAACCTATAATTCTTAATTATTTTCTATCTCATGAATGAATCCCAATAGATCTATTTCTAAAGCAAAATATCTAGTTCATTATAAATTACACTTCTAAACTGATTTTAAATCCTCAATTTTCAAACTACTTTAAGGATAATTTCCCCTAAATGTACATAACCTTTCAAAAGATAGAGTGGGCATATTTAATACTGTAATTTGTCACCCTGTCAAAAACGTATTACACGTTTGAAATATAATATATAATATCAGGAAGTATATTATATACTTATATATTATCAGGAAGTATATGTTATACTTCCTGATAAAGATGGTAGAATGACGATTATAAAACATCCTTTCTATGATCATGAAATTAAAAAAAAAAAAAAGTAAAAATGGCAAAAAAATTTCCCAAGCAGCCACCAAACTGGAAGGGACAACCTGTCATAAGCCTTAAAAAGACAGCCAGGGACACCTGGATGGCTCAGCACGTGATCCTGGAGTTCTGGGATGGAGTCCCACAACAGTTCCCCATGAGGACCCTGCTTCTCCCTCTGCCTGTGTCTCTCATGAATAAATGAATAAAATCTTAAAAAACAACAACAAAAACGGGCAGTCAAGGAAAGAAAAAGAACTCTCTGGAGTAGCTGAGAGGCTTCTACATCCCACTTGTTGGGCAGTAGCAGGGAAGGGGGAAAAACAAAGTAGAAAACATTTTGAAGTATTTCACTAACACTACTAATTTGGTAAGACTCAGAAAATACATATAGCTTGGGAGGAAAGGAAAAAAACCCTTTTCTTTCTTTTTTTAAAAAGTTTTTTTAAATTAATTAATTAATTAATTAATTAATTAATTTATGATAGACATAGAGAGAGGCAGAGACACAGGAGGAGGGAGAAGCAGGCTCCATGCCGGGAGGCCGACGTGGGACTCGATCCCGGGACTCCAGGATCGGGCCCTGGGCCAAAGGCAGGCGCTAAACCGCTGAGCCACCCAGGGATCCCCAAAAACCCCTTTCAACTAAAGTAGAACTCCTATTCAAGACCATTACATCTCAGTAGAGATGGGACAATGCATCAGTTTACTATTATTTCTCAGGGCTCCACAGGGATTTGAGGAAAGGTGATGTATTCTCTAAAGAAGACAGGATTCATCCTTGGCTAGGAGAGAGGACTACTAGTAGTGATATTTAACTTGAGCAGAGCTCAGTTTCACAAACGTAAGGTGCACAAAAGCCCAGCTTCTCAAAGATTACTGAAAACTAGACAGAACTCAGTATCATGCCCCTTATGATGAAGTTCAGAGAAGAAAACAAGGCAGAGGGAGAGTGTAGTGGAGAATTCATCATGTCACTGTATAAAGGCTGTATCTTTATTACCAGATAGGGAGAATACTAACCAGGAGATGGATGGGTAGAAATGTGGACACCCTTCTCCCCCTGCCACTTTTACTAATTTGAGAATTCTAGCATGAATTGTGCATTTTTTAAAATTGAGGTACATTTATGCAAAATCCAGATGTAAAATATACAATGATTAGTTTTGATAAAATTATACACTCATACCAACAAATCCAGTCAAGATATGGGGGGATTTTTCGGCAGAAAAAAATAAGAGAATTAGTAAAATCAGAATGTCATGGCTTAGCCAGCAATAACAAGATATAAAAAAAAATTGTCTTCTCTAAAATTTTTTTTCTAAAATTTCCAAAATAATCTAGTACTTTAAATAATGACCTGAAACAAACAAAAAGCCAAATGCTCATATACTGAAAAACTACTACCTGTGTTATTTCTACTTTCTAAAATACTACCAAATAAAAATTACTAAGCTTCCCTGGATTTTAGTAATTTTTAATGAAATGCATACCTTAATGCAAGAAAATGTAGGCTTCCTTAAGCCAAAAGAGAAAAGTCCCATTATCCCACTCTGCCCCTAAATTCTTTATAGTGATTAAAATATAGTATTTGGCTTCATAAAAGCAGTCCGCTGGACTGTAAAGAAAATAAAAAGCTTTCAACCATGTTATATGTATTATGTATACTGAAGTTATTCATATAGTCAACTTAGTTTTTAAAGTGACATATTTGGTTTTCTTTACCTTTGTTAATTTCTCTTCATTTTTACTTCTTGTATGAAGCAACTCAATGTTTGGTTCTTTTTCTAGTAACAAGCACTTTGGCACTTGCCTTGCAGTCTCTGCATAAGAATCTTTGATCGCTTTTGATATATTCTTTTCTGTGAGGTCCAGTAATGGCTTGTTTTCCAGAGACAATTTTCTAAGACAGGGCTTTTTTCTAACAAAAAATGCTGCTCCACCCTGGAGTGTAACTTGTGGTTTGACTTTTTGGCTTAGAACCCGAGGAGCATTCAGATTATTTTGAGCTGAATAGTAATTATTCTCTTTCTCTACAATTGGCTTATAGGCCACTCGATTTTGCTTGGAACTTTTAGAATTTTTTGATTGAGGCTTGATGCATTTGTATTTTGGTTGACATTTAGAAGTTAAACTCTTTTGTGGCCTTTTAATCGTCCTCTTGGAGCAGACTGGTTTTCCCTGAATTTTTTCTGTCACAACAGGAAAAGATTGGTCTTCATTATTACTTTTTAGACAAGCGGATCGACTTTCTTTTATCAGCTTTCTCTCTAATGGGTTGAGGTACCACTTATCTTTCTTATAAAAGAATACAGTAGACATAGTAGATTTAAATGGTGAACCTTGACTTGCAGATGGCAATCTGGTTTTAGTTGTTTCGGATGGATTTGAAAGGAAATGACTTTGCTGAGAGCAATGAACCTTCTTTTCATTGTTATCACTGTAATTTTCATCAGGTGATGGAAATGTATTTTCAGCAGAGTCCAAAATTAATTTCTTCGATGGAATGTCTAATAAGCTATGAAAAGAAATGAAGTCCATTAGTATCATTTTTCTTCAATTTTATGCCAATCTACAACTAATAAACAACCATACTTGTAGATCATACTAAAAACAATACATTCTCTCTACCAAACATCCATCCATACACATTATCTATTAGTTTACCAGGATTCTCAAAATGTGTCCATACCGAAGCAATGAAATATTTTTCAGAAGTCCCAACAACGCTTGCCAAAACAAACACTGCTAAGAAAGAACCTTTGATATCATGTGTGCATGCACCTGTGTATATGCTTTAAGACCTATTTCTAAGTTTTGGCCATATACTTATAGCTCATCTGGCTTTACTGGCTACTGTGAGTCCCCTAAAAGTATTAATTCTAAGTAATAAACTGACTCCCTCAAGCTTGTTCTGTGGGGAAAAATTTATATCCTGTTAGGACATGTACTAAGCACTGAGTAAACACACTTTCTAGGATGGCTCACAGAGGAGGAGTACTGTATGAAAAACACTTTGTAAATTATTATATAAGAAAAAGGAGCAAGGTAATAAAAGATTTGACATACATTTCCAAGTCACAGAAAACAGCTCTTTCTGATTCTCTCCAAAGACACTAAATAACTAAGGTTGAAAGCTTACAGTATTTCCAGATTAGAATTAGAATATAAAATGTTCCTATAACCACAAGAAAGGACAAGTGGAATAACAGAAATTTTAAGAAACAGAATAGAGAATATAAGAAACACAAGGAGGTGGATTTTTCTTTTTTAAGAGTTTTTACACACAGGATGAGACTCACTTGTCACAGTTCAAAGAAGGCTGCTTCCTTTTTCTCAGAGTAAAAGCTGACATCTTCTTAACTGAACTCCTAAAAGCAATAAGAAAATTATAATAACCAAATTTATCCAATAACATATAAAAATCACTATATCATATTATACTTGCAGAGTGTGAAAAAGCTTTTCGATGGGTGAAGGCAATTTTTAAAAAAGATTTTTATTTATTCATGAGAGAGAGAGAGAGAGAAAGAGGGAGAGAGAGGGAGAGAAGGAGAGACACAGGCAGAAGGAGAAGCAGGCTCCATGCAGGGAGCCTGACATGGGACTCCATCCCGGGTCTCCAGGATCAGGCCCTGGGCTAAAGGCGCTAAGCCACCCGGGCTGCCCGAGTGAAGGTGTTTTAAAAAGCAAATCACTTTATTAACTTAAACCACGAAGGTAAAAAAAAAAAAAAAAAAGGAAAAACACTTTACCATGGCAATGAAGAACAAAAAATAAAAGCAGAATTAGCACATATCTGTTTCAAGCTGGTAAATGATCCTACCAAGGAGGAAGCATTTTTTTTTAAAAACTCGATTTTAGGGCACATTTCCCCCCCCCTTTGATTAACTTATACCAAGTTCAAATACTCTGCGGGGATATCTTTCTGTGATTTCCCTCGGCAGACCCTACACTTCCTTCACGCTCCATTTGACACATTTTCTTGTTGGTTTAACTGTCTTCCTCAGCAGCCTGAATGCTCCATGAGGACAGAGGCTGTTTCTAGCTTTTTCTTCAGAGTTCAGCAAGGAAACGGGTTTGGCATAAGCGCCTCCCAGCTTACTCCTGAGGAGCCTAGAGCAAGCCGCAGGTTTCCTAGTTCCTGAGATACGAGGACCTCCTTCGGCTGCTGAAAATAAACACAACCCTGCACGTTAATTCTCGAGCACCAGAGAGCCTGGTACGTTCCTTTCCCCTTCTTTCGGAGCAGGTATAATAATTAGTAATAATAATAACAATAATAATAATTCACGAGCATGATTTCAAGGTCAAACAGGAAACCAGGGTCTCTGGAACTCAAGGTCGAACCGCGGCTGAAGAGAAGGTTCTTGTGAGGCTGAATGAAGAAATGTGTGGCAGAAAAGCGCGCCTGTCCCCGAACCCAGTCATGGCAGAAAGAGACAAGGCAATCCTAAACCAGAAAGATGGAAACCCGCGGACCTCAAAGTGCGGAGAATCCCTTGCGTGGCTTCGGTCTCGAGCTGCTGAGGCGCCAAGCCCTGAGCTAGAGCTCGTTTTCCTTGACGTTCACCCCCACGTTCCACAGAATCCCCCGTGCTCCTCCGTCTTCCGCCCCAAGCCTCCAGCCCCCGGCCCCGCGCAGCACGTACCTGAGTCTCCAAGCCCGCAACCTCTCTTCGGCAGAGCCAGTTTCTCCTCCGCTGTATTCAAATTACCGCGCGCCCGTGAAGGTTGAAGCCGCTTGCGCTCTGATTCGCCGCTTTTCGGACCTTCCAAGGGCTGGCTCGCTGATTGGTCGCTCACTAGCCCTTGCCCCGCCTACCCAGGAGGCGGTCTCCAGGATTCTCCCGCCCTTGGCAGGAGAAACGCTCTCTCCGGGTCTAGGAATCCACGCCTTCCATAATCCCTTGCGGCAGCGCCGGGCTCCATTCCCGAGGTCTGGTTTAGATGCATTCTGGGAATTGTAGTTTTCGGCAGAATAAAGGCACTCACTTGAGGTCGAGGTGGATTCTGGGGTCACGGGGTTTAGCATGTTTTTGTAAAGTAGCCTCTGCAAGATTCTCCAGGCGGCTATCTTTCACATTTGAAACTTTGTTCATCAGCTTAACATTTTTATTAATTATTCGTTAGATTTCTAGTTCGTTTTTTTTTTAATTTTCCAACTTAAATTTAAAAATTAAATCATGGCACTAAACATCTGTAATGTGCCAGCCAGGCAGTCTCACGCGCTTTACTAGGTTTATTCCATTTACTTCTCGTCACAATGTATGAGATATGGATTATCCTTCTCATTTCACTGAAATGAAAACTGGGGGCCTGCAAACAATTACTATTTACAGGAGATAGCTGGGTTCTTGCTCTGGGAAGCCGTAGTGTTCTTAAAGTACTCACGGGTTGTCAGCTACTGTTTATTCTCTCTGTGTCACCAGATCCTGCTACAGTCTTTGTTCATTTTTAGTTCTAAATAAATTTAGTTAAGGGATGCACTCACTTTACTTCATAGAACTAGTCTCTCGAGGAAAATCTGGGTGGCTCAATGATTGAGCAGCTGCCTTCTGCTCAGGGTGTGGGACCCAGGAAATTTAACAGAATCCCCTACCCCTGGACAAGCAGAGCAGGACTGACTCTATTTTGGGCTGCACCCGCCTTGTGCTGACCTGCTTATTACTTAGGGCACTGTCCCGCCTTAATCAAAGACCAGGACACACCCTAATCGGAAATCCAGCCCAGGGATACTGCCCCGCCCTAGTCAAAGACCAGGGCACACCCTAACCGGAAATCCGGCTCAGCGGACCAGCACGACTGTGCAACTTTCTGCGATCCCATTGGCCACTGGCCCCTATAAAGTTGCTAAGCCTCTTAGTCTCGGGGTCCAAGTCCCTGCTCCGCTGCCTCGGGTATGCTTGGACCCAGGCTCGGGCTTGTAATAAACCCTCGTGTGATTGCATCGGTGTCGGCTCCTTGGCGGTTTCTCGGATTCGCGATCTTGGGCACAACAAGGGCATGATCCGGAGGTGCAGGGATGGAGTCCAACATCAGGGTCCCTGTGAAGAGCCTGCTTCTCTCTCTGTGTGTGTCTCTGTCTCTCATGAATAAATAAATCCTAAAAAAGAATAAAAAGAACTTAGTCTGTCGGAGTGAAGAGAAACAATCAGGTCAAAATTAACGGCTGGGGAGCTTTATAGGAGTAAGATTATGCCCACTTGACAAAAGCAGACTTAGGAGGTCCATTGGTTTGGAAGTGCCCTATCACAGATAATAAGAGATGGCAGATCTTAGATTTAAAGGCAGGACAATGTAGAGTCCAAACCCCAAGACGCATATGCCTCTGGGGAATATCGTTAACAAATCACTTTAGTTGAGCGCTCAGTAGGTTCTAAACCCTTTCCGTTTGTTGACCTATTTAACCTTCACAATGCAACCTAGGAGTTAGCTGCTCTGTTCATCTTCCACTCTGATGATGGAAGGGACGCACAGAATGTGCCCCACAAGTACCCTACAAGTGGCGGAGCCAGGTAAGGATGTGCAGAGTGGAAGAATTCGGGTTCATTTTAAAATAAAAGGAGCACCTACTACGCGCCAGGAGGCGCTGTGATTGGCGCAGGGAACGCCCATCTGTGAACAAGGCCACGGGTTCCCGCAGTCCGGGGGGAGGGGCGCCACCAGGGTGTGATGGGTAGGAGACACAACCAACAGGCAAACTTCAAGATAAGGCCGCCCACTCGGTGGAGAGTCTAAAAATGGTCAGCCGAAGGCATTTTTCTTTTAGGAAGATAGAATTTCCCCGCTTCGTTTTCCGGCCATGAAGTGTCCTACCTCCATCTTCTCTCCCTCTCCAACCCCCGCACCAACGAAGCCCCCGAGCCCGGCTACACAACTCCTCCTCGCCAGAATTAAAAATGGCGCCAACGGGCCGGCGTTGTGACGCGCCCCGACTTCCGGCTTCCGCCGGAAGTGCGCGAGGAGTTCCGGGGACCGGGAGGCCTCCGCGCGGTGGTCTCCTGAGCTGGCGAATCGAAGGCCGCTGGTGCGCCCTGGAGCCGCTGCGCCGCCGCCGCCGCCGCCGCCGCCGCCGCCGGGATCATGGTGTTCTACTTCACCAGCAGCAGCGGTGAGTGGGCGCCGTGACCTCCTCGGTCCCTGCTCGACGGCGGGGCTCCCAAGCTGCTGTTCAGCCTGGACTTGATCCTGAAGCTCCTCCTCGGCAGTGGGCGCTTTCCTGCGCCCTTTCGGCCCCCCGCCTCTGTCCGCCCCTGTCGCCCCCGTAGGGCTCGTGCCAGGGCCTGGGGGTCGTGTGGATGGACTATCACCCCTGCCGTCTTTGCACCCGGGAGTTCCTTTCCCTCGGCAAAAGACCTCCCTTTGCTCCCTGGAAGTGGGCAGAGTTCGTGGTCTTCTTCACACCCCCATCTCGAGACTCCTCCTCGCCCCCTTCGCCTTTATTCTGGCTGCGTCCTGGTGATGGTCCACTTTGAGGGAGAAAGGAGATACCTGCCAACCACACTGCCTTACAGGAAGTGCGCCCTTCCCTGCTAGGATGGCCTCGTAGGGCCCGGAATGCGACAGAAAACAGTATGGACCCTGGAGTGGCGGTGCAGCCCCTCACTGGGCAGAGTTGTCCCATATCTCAAATATTGGCGTATGGTAGTGTTCCTGATTGGTCTTTGGCAGCCAAGGAAGGGGTGCATTTAGTTCCCAGGAAGTGCTACGTCTTGACCCTGTTTTTTCTGCCTATGTTGTCCCCTTTGCCTCATCAGTGCCATTAAGTCCCGTAAGACTCCCACCTGACTCCCACCCAGAGATTGCTTAGCTGGGCCTCTTTGGGGGACCCCCCCTTGACGCCCCGTGTGTATCTTTGGTATTGCATTTATCATATGATATTAAATGCTGCCTGCTTGACCTGGGTGGGGTCTAAGCTCCTTGAGGACAGGGGCAGGATCTCCTTGTTTCCTTAGACCAGTGCCTGGCCCACAGTAGTTAATAAATGCTTGTTGAACAAACTAATGGTATTTTTTGACTTTGTCTTAGCAGGTACTATTCCATTGCCGCTCTCTCTGCTTGCACCTTAAACGTGAGATTTTATGCCAAGCTAGCCCTTTTGTTGTTTGCGTGGGTTTGAGTAGGGTGATACTTTCTCTTGAGAGATGAGAACAATAAGGCCCAGGGAATTTGTAAGCCAGAGGACCCGCACCCCGACCCTTCCTCTCTCTTTTTTTTTTTTTTTTAAGATTTTATTTATTTATTCATGATACACATAGAGAGAGAGGCAGAGGGAGAAGCAGGTTCCATGCAAGGAGCCCGACTTGGACTCAATCCCGGGACTCCAGGATCGCGCCCTGGGCCAAAGGCAGGCTAAACTGCTGAGCCACCCAGGGATCCCCACATCTCATTATTTTTATCAGTAGTCTAGACTTCCACCGTGTGCCATAGCCATTTCTCTGCCTTTATAGGTTTGGTTTGTCTTAACTCATATTATTAAAATTAGCAGAAACAATATACACACTTGCCTGAAAAGTCGTAATAGGCCTTTTCATCCTCCCTCTTTTCTGTTTGCTCACTTTGTCATAACTCTAACATCTCTTTTTAGCGTCTCCACTCTTGAGAGTTCCCAACGACAGAGATACCCATACAAACCCAACAATGGAATAAAAAATACAGGCAGGATGTATGGTACTAGATGTAGTTTATGTTAGCTGCTTTATTCTTCTTGAAGCCATTCTGAATTCTTTGAGCAGTCTTCATACACACAGATGCCTGTAATTGAACAGTGGTTCAGCAGTTTATGGGTCACATTTTTCTCATTGGCTTCCATTATAAGGTCAGAACTGCTTCCTATTGGAAAAATATTTGGCCTTTAAGTCTAACAGAAACACACTTGTGCGGCAAATCTTTTAAAATTGCAAAGTTAATGGAAAAAATTATAACTTTGTCAGTAAAATAGTAGTAAGACTTTACATATTCCTATAGAGAAAACAACTTGAACAAGCAGAATTTTCAGGAAATGACTTCATATAGCTAGCCAAGCTTTTCAACCAACTTAGGGTTTGACTGTATGAAAACATTTTTTAAATGGAGAGAACATCTCAATAGAAAGTTTTTGCCTTTCCTTTTAAAGTTAGTATCTGACTAAATCTCTTCAGCTTTATACCTCTTTCATGCTCTGTCCTAATGGGATGATGAAACATTAGCCTTAACTATTTCTGCTGTCAAATTCAAGACCCTTTGGTTTATGGACCCACAGAGTATCTACACTTGGCCCATCAAGTCCGTCTGTGCTTTTAGTATTGCATCTACCTCAGGATAGCTTGTTATGTAAATTAAGAACTAATCACAGAGCAGCTAAAGTTGGATTGGTCACTACACCTGAATCCAGTACCTTCGAGATAACTAGTTCCCATACTAATCAACCCTATTCTTTGGGCACAAATAACAAAAGTACTAGAATAATTTATGTTTCCTTTAACCCTATTAACATAGACAGGAACTTCATTCTGACTTCTTGCTCCACGGTCATGCTCCTTTTTATTTTGAATTTTCTATTTTGACTAATTTCAACTTCCAGAAAAGTTACAAAAAGAATAAAAGATTTCCTCTGTAATCTTTCAGATCCCCCAAATTCTGACATTTTCACTTATTTCTTTTCCTCTCTTCATCTCTCTCTTCTCCCCCAACCCCAGATCTTTTTCTTGAACCATTTGTTGGTAGGTCACAATTTACCCCTAAATACTTCAGGGCTTTTCCCCCCTAAAGTCAAAGATGTTCTGTTATCAAAAAGCATTCCTCATTATCAAAATTAGGAAATTAACATCGTAGCAATACCATTATCTAATCAGCTTTTATATTCAGGTTTCATTAGTGTCCTAATAATACATTTATAACTAAGGAACATTACAAATCATTGTTGTGTTCAATTGGCACTCATTACTCTTTATTCTAATCTGGAGCAGGTGCTCAGTCTTTGTCTTTCGTGACACTGTTGTTGAAGAATTTTTTTGTAAAGTGCCCCTTGGTTTGCATTGGAGTTATGTGCTTAATCACCTCATTTTATAGGTCACCTATCCAAACAATTGTCTGTCACTCTCTTGACTGTAATTTAGACAGCTTAGCCTGCATAGACACTTTTATTTTAATCATTTGAAAAGTTACTTTCATTCTGATTACAAAAGCCATCTATATGTCTGGTAAGCAAGCTAGCCAAGGTAAGTATTGTTAACAGTTATATGTCTAGCTCCCCAAACGTATAAAGAAAATAGGTGCGTATATTAAGCATATAGTTGTAAACGTGTGTACAACTATATATTCACTTTTTACACATTGAATCTTGCTGTATGTAATACTGCTATTTAACTTCTGCCTTTTCAGTGGGTACATGGTATTTTGTTTATGGATGTTCTACAGTGTGTTTAGTCTTAATTAATGAGTGCTTGGGTTGTAAAAACATTACTGCTTGACTGAGTAATTATAGTATGTACTTATAGTAAAAATGTAGTATTACAGGATCAAAGAGCATACACATAGAATGCTAGGTTGTACAGAGAGAACCTGAAATGGTTTTATTCCTGCACTTCTGGCATTTATTATAATGGCTGTTCTGGCTATGCTGAGGCTTAGCAAGCTAATGTAATGCTCAATTATAGACAAGTATTTCTCTCAACAAGTCCATGCAAATACTCTTTCCTTCCCAGTTCCCTCAACTACTTCCAAGTAATTTTGGGTTGTAGTCATTATAACTGTTGACTGAAGGAAATGAGATTTTTCCCTTCCCAAGAGAGGCAACTATAATTGATAATTTAAGGAGCTCCTCAGTACTGAAAGTGCAAGGCAATTTATTGAAGAATTTAAGAATTTATAAATGAACAAGTGCTGCTCCCTGGCCTTTAGAGCTTCACTCACACGTATTAATTTAGTCCTCTGGAGCAACAGCCAACAAGCTGTCCAGACTGAGGGCCTGGTGACTATTAATTCAGGAGTTTAGATGCAGATGGAGCCAAACAAGTTTTGGTAGACTAGCTTGGAAACCCAGTACCCAGATAGAATTTCAGTTAGGAAACTTAACTTTTTGTTTGACCCTAGATGGAGAATGCCTATGTTAAAAGACAACTAGCTCAGTAAAGCATATGTCATTTCTATGGTAAGCCATACCTAGAATATTCAGTTGTGGTTCCTAACATTCTACCTTACATTGGAAATAGTTGAAGATCCTTAAAACAAACAAACACCATTGCTTACCCACCAGAGATTTGGATCTGGTTAGTCTTAATGGAGCTGGGACATAATTAGGTGATTCTAATGTATAATTAGGGTTTAGAGTCTGATTTAGAAGGTGTTTGAAAATCATGTTTCCCCAGAATGGGATAGAGAGTCCATTATAATATGCAGCACACCTGGACGATAACTAATATTGGCTAAATAAAATTATGAAAAAACTCAGCTAAGTATAAGAACCTATTTTTAAGTGGTGGAAGTGAAGATTGGTTTTTTGTTTTTTTTTTTTTAAACTCTTTTGAAGAAGGCAGAAGTATAGGACTGGAATTGTATTGAACTATATCCCTAATGAAAGTAGAGAAGTAGCTATTCTGTAATAAGAGTCAATAAACTTTTCCTCTTTGGGCCAGGTGGTAAATACTTTAGACTTTGTGAGCCACATCCAGTCTCTGTAGCTTTATTCTTCTTCATTATGTGTTTTCAACTCTTAAAAAATATAGAAGTAATTTCTTAGCATGGAGGCTGACTGGGTCTGGCCTCCAAGCCATGTCTTGCCTACCCCTAATCTAAGCATTTGTCACTTGCTTTTCCTGTGAAACAGTTTTGTTGGAGGTGAAGTTATCTAACTGTTTTTTATATTTTTGTTTTTCTCTTAGTTAACTCATCAGCTTACACTATTTACATGGGAAAGGATAAATATGAAAGTAAGTTTTCAAAAGCATTGATTTTGAAATTTCCAGCAGGTAAGTGTTAATTGCCTCCTCCCCCAGCCCCCATGGTTGGTTGGTTATGAGTTTTCAACTAACTACTAGTAGTTAAGCCCATTATACAGAACTTCAGTGAGTTAACTTTCCTTGAATTTAGTTATATTAAATAATATTGGGGCCTATTAGACCACTTTTTGCTACTTAGAAACTTTAAGAGTTTTGTCATATCATTTGATTTAGGGTGATGTCAGTTAGAGGTTAACCTGTACTAATTTATGTCAAGTAAAAATCTGTGACTTGGTTGAAAAGATCATTTTCTGTACATTTTACCACATTTATGAATAAAGGAAACATATTTTTAGGGTTTTTCAGGCTGGAGAAGGCTCCTTTTGAGTCATGAAATGTTAACAATTTTTTCAGACTTTGAAAATGTCTGAAAGGACTTATCTGAAGGAGATATGCTCTCCACGGAATGAAATACAGTATTCCATACTGTACACATTTATGCAACTATAACAAAAATTTACCAAAAAAATACTCATACTCTTTGTTATACCCTCATTTGTTTGTTTTATTTTTTTTAAAGATTTTATTTATTTATTCATGAGAGGCACACACAGAGAGAAAGAGAGAGGCAGAGACAGAGGCAGAGGGAGAAGCAGGCTCCATGGAGGGAGCCCGACATGGGACTCGATCCTTGGATCTCCAGGATCATACCCCGGGTTGAAGGCGGCACTAAACCGCTGAGCCACTGGGGCTGCCCTGTTTGTTTTATTTTTAAAAAGCCAGTCTCAACCTGCTAAATTAATTTTTGGACCCACTAATGAATGTGAACTAAAGTTTAAAAGGAAAAACTGCTTTAGGGGATAGCCTCTGACTGCAGGAGCGAGGAGGGTGACAAAGTTGAGCTTTCTTCCTCTGGAGCAGTGAATTGACAGCACTGGCCCTTGGAGTGTGGAACACTGAGCTGAGGGAGAAAAGATCTGCAACAGGGGAGCTTGGAGACCTCACAGGACCACTCTTTCTCAAGCTTGGAGAAAACAGTGGCTCTTCTCACAGGGGTAGTGTAATGTTTTGAAAAGGGCTGCTCTCAAGTCAGGCCCATCTGGGTTAAAATCTCAGCTTTTGGGACACCTCGGTGGCTCAGTGGTTGAGCATCTGCCTTTGGCTCAGGTCATGATCCCAGGGTCCTGGGATCGAGTCCTGCATCAGGCTCCCCATAGGGAGCCTACTTCTCACTCTGCCTGTGTCTCTGCCTCTCTCTCTCTCTGTGTGTCTCTCATGAATGAATGGATCTTTAAAAATATATATATATTAAAAAAAAAATCCCAGCTTTTAGCAGAATAGCTCTAGTCACTTCACCTCTCCAACCCTCATATTGCTGAGATGTGAAAAGAGGACCATAGGATAGTATCTGCCTTGCAGGAGTGTGAAGGTTAAATAAAAGAGCCTGACTAGAGTGCCTGGCTCAGGGTGAGCTCTAAGCAATGGTAGCAGTCACTGCTGGAGCTTATTTAGCTCCTCAGAGCTAGCTCCTCCCTCCCCTGGGAAAACTCCAGTGCTGGATGACCACCTCAGTAGTCCAAGAGCTGGCTAATTCCCTATAGTTATTTATCTTTAACCTTCAGATATTGCTTTCCCCCCACCCCCACCCAAAACCATCAGTGTTTGTTTTAGGTGCAGGTTGAAACTGACAACATTTTAAACTTGATTCTTTTAAAAGAGGCAAGTATAGTAGTCTCCAGTATGAAACATTTGATACCAACAGAAAAATTAAGCCAAAAACTGAAAAGATGTCAAAGAACAGTAATGTTACATGCAACTGTAGTTACATATATATAGGTATATATAACTCTAGTTAATACATTCACATATCTAGTATAACACAGTGTAACACATAAAAATATGAATGTGCTATATGTAATAGCTGTGTAAATATATATAGTTATTAGATCTATATAAATGGTTTCGAATTTTGCAATAATACTGGTTGCCATAAAGCAGAATCAGAATAAGCACAACTATTACATCCTAGCTGAGAGAAAAACACAGCAGAATAACTAATTTTAAAAGTTTTCCCTTAAAATGAATTTATGGCATTGTCTCTGGTGTGACTTAATGGAGGAGCAGTCTGCAATATATTAATACTTGAGTTTTCTATTTTTCCTAGTAACTCTTACATCATCACAGATGATTTGTATATTTTTCATATCATTCTCTTGATGAATGTGGCCGAGAAGGGGATGCTATCTCCTTGTATTACATTGAACAAGGAGGCACGGTTATAACCAGTCATGGTTATGTATAGTAGATGTAGAGCTACACCTGATCAAACCTACTTTTCTTTCTACCACATCAAGGATACAAACCCAAGACTTAGGTAACTGAGAAGCACCTAGAGGAGAGCTTCTACATACACTTGTGTGGGTTTTGCACTGTGTGACTCCGGGCAGGGAACTTTCTCACAGTGAAGGACTGCATTGATACTGGTTCACACTGATGGGCTCCCAGTGGTACTGACTTAAGGCAATTGTGCCAGGGCCACCGTGTCTCTTTTTCCCTTCCATTCTAGTTTACCATCTGCTGGGACTTTGCTGCGTGGGGCCGTATGCCAGCCACTCTGAATATCCAAAGGGGAAGATGCAGTCTGTGCTTTCACAGCATTTAAGATAGAGAGGCATACACAAAAACAAATAGTGGGTCATTTTGCTGTGAACCTAAAAACTCCAAAAAATAATGTCTATTTAAAAAAGTATGGGTGAAAAAAAAAAGTATGGGTGAAATGAAGCCATATTAATAAGCGCTGGAGAAACAGAGGGGGCAGAGAGTAAGTGTGATTTGGAGAGAACCAAGAAGGCCTCGTGGAGGAGTGGGTTAGGATGGGCTTGATTGTAGAATCCTTTGAATGTCCATTGTAGAAATTTGTGTCTACAGATAATAAATCTAGATATACAGTCTATACCCACAGGTATAAATTTATTTTTTTTTAAGATTTTAGTTATTTATTCATGAGAGACAGAGAGAGAGAAAGAGAGAGAGAGAGAGAGAGAGAGAGAGAGAGAGACACAGGCAGTGGGAGAAATAGGCTCCATGCAGGGAGCCTGATGCGGGACTCGATCCCGGGTCTCCAGGATCAGGCTCTGGGCTGAAGGCGGCACTAAACCACTGAGCCACCCAGGCTACCTCCCACAGGTATAAATTTAGATTCTTTCCAGAGCCCACTGGAACACCAGGGTGGTGTTTTGCTGCCATTAAAATATATGTAGGGGGACAGCTGGGTGGCTCAGCGGTTGAGCACCTGCCTTCAGCTCAAGGCGTGATCCTGGGGTCTGGGATCGAGTCCCACATAGGACTCGCTGCGAGGAGTCTGCTTCTTCCTCTGCCTATGTCTCTGCCTCTCTCCCTGTGTGTCTCATGAATAAGTAAAGAAAATCTTTTAAAATAAATGAATAAAAAATGTATGGAGGAAAGGGAGGAAGGTGGGGGGGTAGGGTGACTGGGTGATGGGCACTAAGGAGGGCACTTGATTGGATGAGCCCTGGATGTTATACTATATGTTGGCAAATTGAATTTAACTAAAAAAATTTTTTTTAATGTATGTAGGAAAAAAATCTATGTGTAGAACATTTTTCCCCAGGACCTCTTGGAATCATTTGAAGAGGTCAACTTTCCTAGTTTGCTTTGTAAGAAAGGTATTACACATTTAAACCACCCTGTTCTCTAGTGCTCCCAGCACTAAATACTTATTTCTAATAACCTTGATGATTTCAGACAAATGACTGGATGGAACATAAATGCTTTTTTAATTGAGCAATTTACTTTCAAAAAAGTTTTCAGATGTTTTCTTTTTATTAGCCAGCAGGTGTCACTGGAGAGCCAAGCATTGCCTGACTGAGGAAAATAGGTTTTTTTATAGTTCCCTTTACTTTTTTTTTGATTACATGTTGGCTATTGGCTCAGCTTTCTGTTTAAGCTAACAGAAAGCCCTTCAGAAAATTTATAGTGTCTGCAGTTTCTGAGAGTGTCTTTATCCAAGATATATCATCCTTTTATTTTTCTGGAAAATGAACAAACCTTTCAAGTTAGATAGATTATACTTTCTTGGGGATGCCTGGGGAGCTTAGCGGTTGAGCATCTGCCTTCAGCTCAAGGTGTGATCCCGAGTTAGGGATCAAGTCCCACATCAGGCTTCCCATGGGGAGCCTGCTTCTTCTTCTACCTATGTCTTTGCCTCTCTCTCTGTGTCTCTCATGAATAAATAAATAAAATCTCTAAAAAAAAAAAAAGATTTTACTTTCTTGGGTATGTTTTAAATCATCATATCAGTCATTTTGTTTACAGTTTTTAACTTTGTATCTGATACTTTAAATAATGCTTTTGTATTAAATATAATTACTTTCTAATTATTAATGTCACTATTAGATGTGTATATTGATATTAAGTTTCTGTAGTGATATATATTATTAGCCTTAAAAATGTAAAAGTATACATTTTGATCTAATAATTCATCTTTCATCAATATGCTTGAAAGAAATAATCAGGCAAAATGGATATATTTACTTTAAAAATATTTACCAAAGCATTTATAAGTAAAAACAACCCAAATGTAGACAGTAGAAAAGTTTATTCACATGATAGAATTAAGTAGTCATTGTTTCCAAAGACCTTTTTCATTTTTTATTTTACTTTGATCTTACACTAACATACATAGCTTAAAGATTGAAATAGTTATATAATGTGTAAACATCAGTTTTTCACCGTATCCTTTCCAACACCAATGTTCCATCCCACAGAGATAGTTACTTTTAACTTCTAGCCATTTATTTTTCTTTTTACATGTGACAGAATTTTAGATATTTATTTCCTTTTTTATAGTTCTGGTGGTTTTATTTTCTAAGGTTCTACAATTTAATAATTGAGCATTGGTGTTTTTAAAAAAGTAAAATGCAGTCCACTGATTAGCAAAACCATTTTAACAAATAAGTTTCTTACAGTAAATCAGTCTTCTAAGACCTCATCCAACTTCTCAGCTGCCCTAATTTGAAGTTTTCCTACTTTTTAATAGAAATATCTTTGAAGTTTCCTATAAGTATTATTATAAAAATAATAACAATTATGATGGCCCAAATATAAAAACCATTTTTACAAAAAAAAAAAAAAAAACAACTTTTCCCTATTTTCAGCATCAAAGCCTCTCTGAATTACCTTTTCTCCACTAAGGGAGAGAAACAGCTGTGGAAAGGATTGGTATTTCTCCTCTCCCCAGCTAATTATAACTCTGGCATATATATCTTCGTCTGATGGTTTTTTTTTTTTTTAACCTTTTCTTTGTTTTCTTGTATCTCACTGTAGATGAAGATCTAATAAAGCATGGCTGGCCTGAAGATATTTGGTGAGTAACAATTTTGCTTCTGCTTTCTGTGCATTATTTACCTTCACAGATTTGGCCAACCACCTGACTTTTGTGATGAAACCTGGAATCATGCTTTGCATTTTGTTTATGAATATTCAGTGGTAAGTAACTGACTGCCGGTGCCCTTCATTTGTAATCTCCATGTAAACTAGGGATGATGTCTTAGGGCTGGATCTCAGGCCTGACCACAGAGGCCTCTGGAACCAGAGGCTTTCTTTAACTTTGTGTGTGTCTTCTTATAGTGGGCTGGTGAGACCACCACACTCACACACACAGACCACTCTTATTGAAAGAATGGATGGAAAAAAAAAATGAAAGAATGGATGAGGGCTTCACAGGGAGCAGTGAGGAAAATAGAAGCTTCCGTGTAGGTGGAATAGACAGAGCATCTGACCAGGTCCAGCTTGAAAGAAAACACGGGTTAGGTTCCCTTTGTCATCTCAGCTGCCTCGTGAGGTTAGCCCTGTTGTGATCCATCCTCTTCTCCCTCTTTCTAAACTATTTTCTGGAAACTTAAAAAATAACAATTATACTTTCTTCACTTATTTCCAAGATAATTTTTGCTGCTCACAAAACCAAGCCCCAAAAAACAATGACAATCCCTTCATTTTAGTTGAATTCTTTTCTTTTTCTAACTGCCTTAGAATGCCATATGGGTGTTGCTACCACTCAGACCTCAAACCTTTTAGGGGACCCAGACTCCTATGTCTTTGACGTAACATTCTTGGGCTCAGTTTCCTCTCTTGTTCTGTCTTCAGCTTCTGCTCTTGTAATGTGTCTTTCCTGGAGCTGAATCCCACATATAGAGCGGGGTGTGGTCTCCAGAACTCCAGACTGCCTCCGCCTCTACCCTCGGTTCCCCCCCACACACATGTTATCCCTGAATATAAGTCCACAGATCCTGTTTGCTTTAACAATAGTAACACTGAACACTTACTGAATAACTAACTATATGTCAAATACTGGTAGGTGTTCACTTTATTGATACATTTAATTTCACAGTAGTCCTTTAAAAGAGTTACTGGTGGTGTGCCCATTCTCAGATGGAGAAACTGAGGCTAAAAGAAACTGAACAGATGTGCTCTGGTTGTTGCTGGCCCCCCAGTCAACTCCAGTTCTGACTTACCTGTTGTTTTTCTTCCCTTGGGCTGCTGCTCTTGGCTGAGGGTGACTTCCTTCCCTTTTCAGCCTTTGCCACAGCTCTCTCTGGACCTCTGTTCTCCAAGGGTGGGCCTGGATCCTTCACCTATTTCCCTACAGAAACAGAGGTGAAGCACTTTTTAGAAGAGCTGCTTGATTTTCAGTAAAGTGGACAGCATCAGACATTTAATAGGAAGACTATCACACAGAGACTAACTGAAGCTTCCCCCCAGACATGGCCATCCTCAGAACCCCCAAGCCTGGCCACAGGTACCCACTAAAGGGTGCCTCCTCTCTTGCTCCAGCCTGCCCCCATTGTGGCGGGGCTAATTCATGACGCAGAGGAAATGCTTTCCTGTCTGCCCTCTCCAAAGTCCACACTCCAGGATCCAAGAGACACTATCAACCTGGGGAATTTTAAAGTTGTTTTTTTTTTTTTTTTTTTTAATCAGCCCCCTTTTCCAGTAAAGTGGCCTGTCTGTCTTCTCAACCCATACATATATCAAGTGTCATCAAAGTAGATGCTGCTTGGTACCCTCTCATCTCAGATCACTTTGTTAACTACCACATCCCGTTACCTACCATAGGATCTGGCACCTGGTATACATTCAATAAATATTTGTTGACTTCCTAATTAACTCTCTGCCTCACTAGCAATGATCTCTATTGGACATTTCTTCACAGCAACTGTATTCTGATATCTCCTTTTGGAGCACCTGTCACCAAACTGGATTATTTCAGTTGTCCTTAAAGCCCAGAGGTCTCCAGATCCTGTCAAGGGAGATTCAAATGGCTGCATATGTTATGTAGTTATCTGCTATGAATTTTTTACATGTCAGATTTGAGGCATAAATACTTGCATAGTAAATGTTACATATTCAGATGCACCATGAAAGTCAATTTACCACAGCCTTTTACCTGACTTTTTTTCTTTAATTAAATAAGTGGAAGAGAAATTTCTAATCTATACCCTGTATGTTCTGAGTTGTTTTTTTTTTTAATTTCATTATTGTTGGCTATCTTCTGGAATGCTATTAAACCAAGTCAGTGTCTACAGATACTTTGATACCCATCTTGACACTCTTGAGATTAATGACTGTTGTTGGAAGTGATTGACTTTTATTTTCAGAAGCTATTTGAGTCCTAATGTGATGCTGAGTAGCCAGCCCTAAATTTCAAAACCATTCTGTCAATCCTGGAAACGTTCATGGGCATGCTAGGAATGATTTGGTTGATTGACATTCCAGAGCAATTTTTCATCCTGCTTCTCTCTGAGGTAAACTTTGGAACTTTATGTGTGTGAATATCAGCATCTGAGTTTACACCAGAAAACTTTCTGAGGCACCTGTAAGCAAAGGATTTTCCCAGAACAAAATGAGAATAGAACTGAATTTATCTTTAATCAAAAGAAAACAGAAATAATGTGTCTTTACTGCCTCCAAACTCCCTAATGAACAGTATTTCCAGGGACCCCACTTTCTGGAGTTAAATGACTCTGCTTCTTAGGGCCCATATCTCTGCATCCCCTGGTCATTGATGCTCATTGATTGAGCTTTCTAGTCTCTGCATTCAGTAAAGAAAACAGTGATAAAGTAGAGTGAGGAAGATAATAAGGACAAGAAGGAACTAGGGAACTACTGGCCATAATTTGAACTTTTTGTAGTAAACATTTAGGAAGGTTTGTAAAGGTTTCTTAAGGAAACTTGCTCATGATAGTTTATTTACAGAGCTTGCTTTTTTGTGTGTTTCTACAGCTCAGAAACATACCTCCCCCAAATTCCCTGTGTCCTGTTGAAGTACCTACCAACCTGGAGTTGGTCTCTGTATCAGCAATGATATTCCCATATGTGTTTTGGGATTTTGATGACTTATGTATCACTTCATTAGATATACATTGAATTATTTGTATATTTCTTTTGACAAAATTGTGTGTCAGAGATCTTAAGAAAAATCACAATATAGTTGAGCTATTGTGGGTATGTAGGAAAAAGTTGTTGTCAGTAAAGAACTGGCTTAAAACAAGTTGGAATGGGAGAAGACATCTCAACTGAACTTGCTTCCTAACAAAGTCTTTTCCTTAGCTCCTGAAAGCGGGTAATGAGATATTTAATTTCTAGATTTGCAAAAACACTTTTTTTTTTTGGTGGAAAAGGCCAAGCTAAAGACAATCATCAGTAGGAATCTTCTATGGGAATGCAAATGTATAAATGAACCAGTTGGGGAAAAATAAATCAATGTCCACTTCTGCCTAGCAGTAATTGTTAATAATAGAACCTAGAGTCATCATAGACTGCCAAAAATGTGTAATATTTTTCTGTATCCACAGTGACTAACAAGATGCTTAACATGTTGAAGAGGGCATTAGGAACACCACAATCTTAATATTTATATAGAATGACTCTGTCTGCATCTTGTAACTAGGTATGATTGTGTGACCATTTTCACCTCTGAAGGATACATAAATGCTAAGAAAATGTCTAGAGAAGCATATAATGGGATGTAGTGGTACCTCTTTAGGGTTTTCCTTATAACTCTTCAGACTGGAAAGGTAAGAGAGTAAAGAAGAGATGACTAAAGTTAACAGAATCCCAAAGTGACCATTATGTGTTACATTGTTTGGTCCTAGAATCCTGGGGCCATCTCTGGAATTTGGAAAGAGAAAGTCAACTTTATTTGCTGAATTATAAATATGAAAAGCTTAATATCTCAAAACGTTAGACTAGATGAGAGAGGAATTAAGTTTAGAAACATTTCATTAAATTGGTGGATGAGAGAGCCTTAATAAAAGGTAAATTTGGGGCAATGGAATGGAAGGGCATTCCACATGTTTTCAGGACACTATCATAAAGGTCAACCCCATGCTTTCCCAGAAGATGCCATTGTCAGGTGTGAGGCAGGATGAATTGTTGGTCTGCCCCATTTCATGAATCGTATAACTCTGTGCTTTTCTTTGGATTATTTTGCCATCACTTAAAACTTAGGGTGTCCCAAACCAAACCTCTCATTTTTCCCCCCAAACTGGTATCTTCTCCAGCTGTAAAATATTTCTTTCTGTGGTCCTGCCGTCTTGATGACTTCTCTCATTCCCTTCTCTCCTCGCCTAAAATACCCTTCCCTGTTTTTTTCTAAATCCTGTGCTTCAGCCAGGGACCCTCTAGAACTCAGTCCATTGGTGAAACCTTTGGTTACTGATGGTTCTTTCTTACTTGAAAAATCACCCCTCTGGGGCATTTCTATTGTCTCTACATCTTGGCACTTAGTCTCACACAGCTGCAGAGCTTTCCATGTTTATCTTGCCTCTCCCGCTGATAACTGCCTTTGGAGGCAATCATTGTGTTTTTATACTCCCTATGATGCTTGGCATGTGGTAAACACTGACCTAATACTTTCTGGATTGGAATGCTTTAAATGCAAGGGGCCTGAGGAGATGCTTGTCTTGTACCTCTTGCTAAAAGTGGTTTTCATTCTTTGTAGGTTTCATGTGGACAAACTCTCTTCGGCTCATGTATACCTTCGATTACATAAGGTAACTGGATTTAAACATGGACTCATAACTTTTTCTTTATGATGAGCATCCTATCTTGTCCCCTGTCCTTTTTTTGCGATTTAAATTTCGTAAAGTAATAAATTATGTACAAAAGTTGAAAAAATTAGCCTATGAAGGGATGTCTTACCCCTCACCCCACCAATCACTAAGGGAAATTCTGGTGATTTTTGATACTTGGAAGGGGGCATAGTACATATACCATGGCTAGAACCACTGCCATCACTGCCGTAATTATCCTGCCAATTCAGGTATGTTGTTGGTCACCTCTGCTTTCTCTCCCTTTCATTTCATTTGACAGTTGTGGACCTTCTGTCTTCTCCAGTGGAAATCATGTGTGGTTCCTTTTTTCTCATGCTTATGTGATTCTCCTGCCTCACTAAGGGCAGATATTCCCATTATCAGGGGCCTCTTTGGGAAAGGGAAAACATACAGTGGTTCCTAGTAACATAAAAGCACTGTTTTTCTAATGCCTTTAAGTTCATTTATTTTATACAGCTGAATCATAGGATTATATACTTGTTATGTATACTGGTTTTTTTTTTTTTTTTTTTTTTATCCAGGATCGTGCCCTGGGCCAAAGGCAGGCGCCAAACCGCTGCACTACCCAGGGATCCCTACTGGGGTTTTTTTAATGTCTTATTTTGGAATGATTTTAGATTTAGAGAGAAGTTGCAGAGATAGTACAGAGTTCCCATACATCTCATGCCTCGCTTCCCCAATTGTTAACATCTTATATTACTACGGACGGTATTGGTACATTACTGTTAACTAAACTCTGGACTCTATTTTGATTTCACCAGTTTTTTCATTAATGTCCTCTTTCTGTTCCAGGATCCAATCCAGTCCTGCATTGTGTTTAATTGTCCTATCTACCTAGCGTGAGACTTTCCCTATTTTTCAGAACCATGACAATTTGCGAAGCACTAGTCATATTTTTACAGAACGTCACTCAATTTGAGTTTATCTGATGGTCTTCTCATGACTGGGGTTAGGATTAGGGTTTTAGAGGAAGAATAGCACAGAGTGGAGCATCCTCTTCATCACATCATGTCAGGGGTACATGCACTAATAGAACTTAGCACTAATGTTGCTAACCTTCATCTCCTGGCCAGGCCAGTGTTTGCTGGGTTTATCCACTGGAATGTTGTTTTTCTTCCCCCTTCCATACTCTGTTCTTTAGAGACAAGTCACCAGGTCCGGCCCATACTGAAGGGGGAGGGGATGAAATTAAGCTCCACTTCTTAGAGTGGGGAGTATTTATACATTCTCCCCTATATATTTAATACCGTAGTTTATTTATATCACTGTGAAGAGAGTATTATTTAAACTTCTGTTATAATCAGCATGTTACTGTTTTTTTTGGTTTTGATAGGTGGGGGAAATATGGGGGGGGGGAAGATGGAATAATGGAGACGTGTGGGAATTTGATAAGATAAAATGTGGGGGGGGGTGTGGGGGGTGATAGTTGAGGTATGTGAATTGGTGCGAGCGGTGTGTGAGTTAAGGGAGATGAGGTTGGGGAAAAAATGAATTTTGATAATAGGATAATTGTTATGGTGAAGGGGGGGGTTGGGTGTGTATGTGCTTAATATTAGTATTGGGGGATAAGGGAAGTGGGATTGAAGAATAAGTTGATGATGTATGAAGTGTATAGTATTGTGGTTTATGTTTTTTATTGGTGGTTGGATGTGTTTGGTGGGGCTTGGGGGAGAATGGGGGTTAGTGAAGCGATCAATTTTGATTTTTTGCGAAGATACCTCAAGCCACCACATCCAACCTCTTAGTTCGGAGTTGTATTTGAGGTTGGTATGTAGAAGGGATTAGGGGGAGAAGGGAAGAGGTGGTAGGAAAGAGATGGGTTTGGAGGGGAAATACAAGATAATGAGAGTGGAGTGTGGGGTATATATTTGGGTGTTGGGGGGATATGGGGGGTTGAGGAGAAAATTATAAATATAATATCATTTTAGGGTGAATAGTTTGGTATTGGGGTAGGGATTGGTTTGGGTGATGTTTGAAGGGTTGGGGAATGTATTTTGGAGGTGTAATTTGGGTGGGGGTTGAGGAGAGGGGTGGGTATATATGGTTAAGGGATGTGAGAGTGAGGGATAGGTTGGGGGGGGGAGATTGGTAGAAAGTATGTTATATTATTACAATTGTTGATTCCCCTAGTTAATTGAATTACTCTTTAAAGTGACAGTTTGATAGACTTTTTCATCTTACTGTATTATTTTCATATTTATTGTTTTGACTGGCCACTTTGAGTTGATAGATAGTATACCACAATTAATACGAAACTTCCCTTGTCAGAATATAAGTTGTTTACAGTTTTCAGCATTATGAATCTCTAACAAGAAGTTTTTTTTATCAACCACTTTGTTTTTCTTTCGAATTAAATTTTTTACAATAATTCTCAGAAACAGAATCACTGAGGCAAAAGATAGAAACATTTGGTAAATGTTTCAGAGGCCAGATTGCACTCTAAAAATAATTGCATTAGTTTAAAATGCTACCTGATATACACAGGTTTTCCAAACCCTTCCTAGGACTTTATAACTTAAAAAAATAATACCTTTTGGCAATTTTTAAAAATAAATAGGATGCTATTTCATTATAATTATAATATTCAACTTCTTAATTTACCAGCAAGGTTAAACACTGTGCCCCATCTTTATTTATACTGTTTATGTTGTAAAGGAAAAGAGGAAGGTTGGGAACTCTGTGCTGAAACAAAAGTCTGGATTCTCCTTGGCAGCTTCTTTGCCATTGGAACTATTTTTAAGTTTAGAGAAAATAGAGTATGGTGTTACCAAGTTTCCTTTTGGTTCAGATTAAAGTTTTTTCCTTTAGACTCTGCTGTGTCAGAAAATGGAAACAACAGTGGTTGTCCCAAGTCCGTATTACCACCATTTACCCCATGTTTGAAAAGAAGTTTAATTTCATTTTCTTTTGGAAGCACACAATATGCTCAATAAAAATACGTGCACTTTAGGGAACGTTTACCTGGTCGATTTGCAGTAAATGGCGTAGCCTTTTGTGGTTAGTAGGTACTAAGTAAGTGTTAGAGATGGAGTAAGACCAAGTGGATGGGGACCCAAACTGCTGGATTTGAATCCTGGCTTTCCCGCATACTGGCTGTGTGACTTTGAGCAAGTTACCTAGCTGTGCCTGTTTACTCCTCTGTAAAAGAGAGCTAACAGTACCTATCTTCTCAGGCCATTGTGAAGATTAAATAAGCTAGCATGACTGAAGCAGTTAGAATAACGCCTGGCACATGCTAAGCATTTTATATATTAACTTTTTGGTTGTTGAATTCAGTTGAATTCAACCCAGACCTTGAAGATCATAGATTTTCAGCAGTGTTCTTTCCTAGGCTTCTTTGATTTTTGAAAACCCACAGAGAAACCTCACTTACCTAGAGGTCTCTCTTATCTCATTAACATAGATGGCACAAAGCCCACAGTCACAATTTTGAGATTTATGTATTGAGTTCACTCTGACTTTATGCATAATGCTAAGTTGAATGATTGTTTTTTTTTTTTTTTTTTTTTAAGTCTGCTCATATTATATTAGAAGTAGCCAGCAGAGAGATGAGATTGCTTTAGGAATAGTGACAGACGCAGGTAGTAAGGGATAACAGGATGTAGCCTGACATCAAGGACCAAGAAACTATGTTTCTGCAAGAATTCCATCAGTACCATACTCAGGTCAGTTACTACTATCTTTAGTCCTGGGTTCATCTCTCAGCTCTAGCTCTGTCACTTACTGGATTGAGGGGACCCTGCCCCGTTACTTAACCTTGCTAAGCTTCATTTCCTTCATTGCTAGAGTGAAGATAATATTATCCATGTTATATGGCTATTTACTTAGTGCCTGGCATACAGTGGGCACTTAAAAAGCAATAGCTGTTTTGTTTTATAATTACTCATTTTGATTTATTTAGTATAGGGTCAGTTTGTTTCTGTGTATTTTAGAAGATCCAGAAGGCATCACTATCACCATATGGCCTGGTGTAATGGTTGATATTCTTAGTAATGACATTGTGTTATCAAGGTGTTAAATTCAGAATCCTTTCTGCAGGTGGTCAGGGAATTGCACAGCATGAGATATGTCATTAAATTAGTGGAAAACTTAAATCACTTTTTTGCGGGGAGGGCGGTCAAAATGTGTTTATTTGAGAGATCCCCATTTTAAAACATACAAAAAAATTCAAAAACATCATGGAATAAGCTTAATTTATTTCAGGTTATTTAGGTGGGTAGAACATTTCATTCCCATACAGAAGTGCTTCTTTAATCCCATGTCTAGTTGGGACGAGTACTGAGGTGATTCCCACTTGCCCTGCCTTTGAAATATTTTTGTTCTTTTGGAATGGCTTTGCTTATTCAGCTTTGACTTTGTTACAGCATCTACACAGAAATTGAGTCAATATTATTTTTCCCTTAGGGTGGGTGGTTATATCTAACACACCAAGAGCTGGGCTCCTAATTAAGGCTGATCAATGACCTACCTCAAACGATGTTTGAGACCCAAGATAATAAGATATCTCTTTGAGAGGAAGGTCGTAGGGACCTCAGCAAAGAAGACTTGACTATTATCAAAAGTAGGCACTATTTTCCCACAAAGTTTCCAGAAGAGTGAAGAGAAGTAACAAGAAAGGGGGGTAAAGTTCCTGACACATAATTACAGTTAATATTTTGGTGGTTTCCCTTAATACCCTTTTCCCCACTTATTAAGAATTAGTATTTTCCATATTACTTGTACTGCTTTCTCTCAGACATTCCATAATAGACTTCATTTTTCAATGTCCTGAGATAGAGTGAAGAGCCTCTGCTTTTAATAAAATTGTGCCAAGGCACTAAAGCCTTCTAAATGCTCCAGTATTGATCAGTAACAAGGTGGTGGACCATCTTGTTTATTTTTATGTTTCAGGGGGAGAAGATAGAAGACATTCCAAAGGAAGTCCTGATGGACTGTGCCCATCTTGTGAAGGCGAATAGCATTCAAGGTCAGTTTTCCTAGAAGTGTTTTCAGAATTAACACCAAATTCTGTGTCAGAAATTGAATACGTTTTAGAGAACCTGTCAATGACTTTGGCTTGAGTCAGACAAATAATATGTAATATTCCTTTCCCCTGTTTTGTTCTTTAAGGTGGCAGTTCTGCTACCTATGAAAGAACTGAAAACTAATCTCTTTACCCCTCTAATGTTCATGGTCCTTTCTTAACTCTTTCTATCATGTTTCCTTACCTGGACTAGAAGCTTGTCTAGATCTGCCTACTTGATGTTATATGTTGAAAGACTTTTGGGGGCTCATGGGTGGCTCAGTCTGTTAAGCATCTGACTCTTGGTTTTAGCTCAGGTCTCATGCCTCATGAGATCAAGCCCCAAGTCAGGCTCCACACTCAGAGGGGAGTCTGCCTGAATATTCTCCCTGTCTGCTCTTCCCACACACATGCGCACGCACGCTATCTCTCTCTCTCTCTCTCTCTCTCTCTCTCTCTCTCTCTTTCTCTCTCTACCAAATAAATATGTCTTTAAAAAAAGACTTTTGGAAATAAGGGTAGGTTATTTTTAGTATTGTGTGATGTCTTTCTATCATTTATCCTTAAATTCTAGAACTCAGGTCTTTATATCCCTGTTTCCTACTTATTCTTTCTCCTTCTCTTTCATACTTTTCTCTCTCTGTGTATTGTGAAGGTAACAAATCTGTTGATCTTTTCATCTCCCAGAGAATCTCATTTAGTTGGTCTGGGGTGATCCATGAGTATCAGTATTTTTACAGCACTCTCTGGGAGATTGTAATGTACACAGACCGTTGAGAACAATTGGCCTGTTTTAGGTGAGGCCTATAATTCTGGGCTTGGCATTTGTTTAGTTCAGCTGTCAGTAGTAGATTCAATCTGTCATTAGTCGATATAGGTTAAGAAAGACAATTTGGGAGGAGGAAATAGGAGTTAAAAAAGGAGAGCCAGGAGATGGTGTTCTGCTAAGAATGGTTGAGCTAGTAGGTAGGATTTTGGGGTGTGTGACATAGAGCAGATAGAGTAAAGGTAAGTTTGGTTTGATGTGAGGTTGAGGGATGATCCAGACGGTTGGAAATAAATAATGGTTTGGAGAGAGGGCAGACACATAGCTGATAACAGGTACTAGGGCTGGTGAATACAGGATAAGAGCTGGCCAGTGTATCCCTACCTTATCACTTAGACTGTGTTTCCTAAATCTCAGTTGGGCAGCTTTCATTAAAGCTGGGTCAGATACTTAGCCAAAGAAAGTAGAAGTCTGGTCTTGCAGAGTCACTGATTTTCAACTCCTTAAATCATTAAATTGCACTTAGTTTTAAGACATTCCATTTTTATGAGCAGAACAGAGCTTTTAAGATTTCCAGTTAAGAGCTTCAGTTATTAAAGTAAAAATAATAAAATTAAAACAATCATTATCCTCTTGTGTGTTGCAACCTCTTTCACATGTTCTTGTCCCCTTTCCATGCCCCTGGGTAGCAGATGTGGCTTTATTAAAGGATCTTTGGACTCTATCCTCAATCCAGCCTCTTTTTTCTTAATCTCTTTATAGTTTACTAGTTCTAGAGAAAACAGAAAAGGCAGAAGAGTCATGCCACAGCCTTCCTCTGCTCTCCACTTCAGCCTTTCACAATGAGAGAGCTCTTTAGCAGAATAAGGAACTAAGCCCAGGAGCCTCACTCCTGAGTTGACAGCAGAGAATGCTGAGGATACTACATTTGTGTTGCTGTTAAAATATTTCCCCTCTTTTGACTCTCAGAACCATGGGAGTTAGTTTAAACTTGTTTGTCATCACAGAATCTGATCAATTAGTTTATTCATAGAATCTTGCCAGATTAAACTTTCTAAAACTTAGATACTTTCTATGGCACACCTCACCTTATCTGTGCAATTAAGTCCAGATTTCTTTTTTTTTTTTTTTTAATTTTTTTTTTTTTTTTATTTATGATAGTCACAGAGAGAGAGAGAGAGAGAGGGGCAGAGACACAGGCAGAGGTAGAAGCGGGCTCCATGCACCGGGGGCCCGATGTGGGATTCGATCCCGGGTCTCCAGGATCGCGCCCTGGGCCAAAGGCAGGCGCCAAACCACTGCGCCACCCAGGGATCCCAAGATTTCTTAAGCTGAAGTTAAGCATCTCTGCTTTGACTACAGGCATCTTTTCCCATCACATATTTCACACTCCAGCCAAAACCTATATTGACTGTTTTCCTACCTTATACTTCTGCTTATATTATCTCCTCTGCCCTCAGTTTGTCTGCTTCTCAAGTCGTCTTCTGTCTAGATGCAAGCTATGGTTCAAGGCCTACCCAGTAGTTGTAGTAATGGTAGTAATAGCTAACCTTGAACATTAATTATGTGCCTAGCACCGTGCTAAAAACTTTACAGATTATTTCATTTATCAACCCTACTGAGATGTGCATTACTACTTTCATTCTAGAGATGAGGGAGCTCAGCTTAAGGTAGTTAAGGAGCCTTCCCAAGGTCTCAGAGCTCTGAATTATGGCAGTGGGTGCATCTGAAGTCAGACAATCTGACATGAAAGTCTTCTATCTTTACCACTAAACTGTATTACCTCTCCAGTAGAGCCTTTCCCTTCTTACAGTATGGGTGATCACTGCCCTCTCTGAGCTACATTAGCACTTTACCTGTACCCTTCCAATATCATTTGACGAGTTCTGCATTTTTTTTAAGATTTTATTATTTGGGGATCCCTGGGTGGCGCAGCGGTTTGGCGCCTGCCTTTGGCCCAGGGCGCGATCCTGGAGACCCGGAATCGAATCCCACATCGGGCTCCCGGTGCATGGAGCCTGCTTCTCCCTCTGCCTGTGTCTCTGCCTCTCTCTCTCTCTGTGACTATCGTAAATAAATAAATAAAAAACCTTTAAAAAAAAAAAGATTTTATTATTTGGGAGAGAAAGAGAGTAAGCACGAGTGGGGAGCAGAGGCAGGGAGAGAGAAAAGCAGACTCCCCAATGAGCAGGGACCCAGATGCAGAGCTCAATCCCAGGTCCCTGAGAACATGACCTGAGCTGAAAGCAGACACTTAACTGACTGGGCTACCCAGGTGCCCGACGAGTTCTGCCTTTCATTGTAACTACTTATGTACTTATCTGCCTTCCTTTAGTCTGGGAAGGCAAGACCCATTGTCTAATCTATGTTTGGATCTCCCATAGCAGCATGCACATGGAGATTTTCTAAAATCTTAATTTTGAGTAAAACTTTAAAACCTACAGAAAAGTTGTAAGAAAAATATGACTCCTGTATTCAACAATTTTTCTTTTTTTTTTTTAAGATTTTTAAAAATTTATTTATTCATGAGAGACACAGAGAGAGAGAGAGAGAGAGAGAGGCAGAGACACAGGCAGAGGGAGAAGCAGGCTCCATGCAGGGAGCCCTTTTATCTAAAGACACTTTTTTGTCTTTCAAGACATTGACACTTTGAATGGAGACCAGTTGTAGAATACCCTGTGATTTGGGTTGGTCTGATGCTTCCATCTGAGAAAGGACCACATGCGTTTTCAGGCAGGAATACCGGATAAGGGAAATCTTGTGCATTACAGTCAGGAGGCATGTGGTGCCATTTCGCCCCGTTTTTGTTGACATTAATTTTGATCACTTGAGATGTTCACCAGATTTCTCCAGTGTATGTTGTGATTTAATAAACTGTGAAATATGTTGAAAAGGGCCTTGAAGAGTGTTGGACCAGTGATTAAACAGGGATTCTTAGAGCTATCTGAGCAGCAGTCTGGGGCAGAGGGAAAATGTGAGGTGGAGGTAGTAGGGAGGTAGGCGGAGGAATGAATGGAGTACCCAGTACCCCTTTCATCCAGAGCATCTCCACTTTTATGACTTTGATGTTTTCTTTGGTAAAAAGGTTCCATGTGAAAAAGAAACAGCAACAACAATTAAACTCTACTGAACTAGTCCAATTTCCTCATGTTTCAGCTGAGATTCTGGGAGCCATGGGGATTTTGCCTAAATGACACAGCTAGTTTGTGCTGGTGCCAGGGAAGAGTGTGGGACTTTTGAATCCTAGACCATGGCTTTTTACTTTATCTTGCTGTTTAGTCTTTCCTGGAGCAAGGACTCTTTTGGGAACTGAGGAAACTTTCTTGTTTGGTTCATTTCTCCTTTTAAAAAAGTACATATCATAAATTTTGCCTTCAATATTTGGGAGTCTCAGAAATCCCTGAAGCTTATCTAATCCACAGACTCCTGCTTTCCTTTGTAATACATTTGCTTGAATTGTGTTGGTCACCTTTACCATTTTCCTTCTGTGGGTGGGTTTTAAAAAAAGTATTTGGTGATTTGAATCATTGGATGGCTGTTTGTGCTAAGCCTCTCCCTTCATTGGCTTTTGGTAATTTGCCAGTGGGTGAGGGAGTGCATTACTCAGTATCCTCCTACCTGCATGTTGAAGACAGTCTCTCTTGGCAGGCTGCAAGATGAACAACGTTAATGTGGTATATACACCATGGGCTAACCTGAAGAAAACAGCTGACATGGATGTGGGACAGATAGGCTTTCACAGGCAGAAGGATGTAAGTGTTGTGTACCACCAGAGGAGGTGGAGTGGAGTCCTGGGCTTTTCTGTTTCCTGCCAGCATTGCTGAAGGCTCAGCATGATGCCTGCTTTCTAAATCCCTTTCAGCTGGGTTGCTCTTGCCCCTAGAAAGCATCTCCTCTGTTCTGGGGGCAAAACCTACAATAAAGATTCAATATTGTTCCCGGCCCCCTCAAAGGTGAAAATTGTGACTGTGGAGAAGAAAGTGAATGAGATCCTGAACCGGTTGGAAAAGACCAAAATGGAGCGGTTCCCTGACCTAGCAGCAGAGAAGGAATGCAGAGACCGGGAAGAGAGGAATGAGAAAAAAGCCCAAATTCAGGAGATGAAAAAGAGAGAAAAGGAAGAGATGAAGAAGAAGCGGGAAATGGACGAACTAAGGTATGTCGGAGCTGCAGTGTTGGTGTCAACCTTGGAGGCTCCTTGCTGCTGATTTTCATCAGGGACCAGCCCATAGAAGGATATACTGGTGGAGGGTGGGATGCAGGACACACTCAGCGCCTGAGCAGCCTCGGAGAATGTGGTTGTACTGATGAGTGTTGGTCAATTGACGCCCTTTGGTAGAGGCAGGGTATGAGTGTGTGTGCAATAAGAGCCCATTTTATTCTTAGATAAACCGTCAGAGGTTATCTTTAGCATTCAGTTTGTAAACCTCTTCAGGAAAAGAAAAAGCAGTATATTAACGGTTTAACATTGACTAGCTATGGTATTTGAATAAGGTTGTCTTAGGTCTGAAGGCCAATGCTAGTAATTCTTAAAATCTGTTTTTAAACCCCTCCCCCTTTTGGGACTCCTGGTGGCTCAGTGGTTGAGTGTCTGCTCTTGGCTCAGGTCGTGATCCCATGGTCCTGGTATTGAGTTCCCAATCAGGCTCCCCGTGGAAAGCCTGCTTCTCCCTCTGCCTATGTCTCTACCTTTTTCTCTGTGTCTCTCATGAATAAATAATTTTTTTTTAAATTTTTATTTATTTATTATAGTCACAGAGGGGGGGGGGGTGGGCAGAGACACAGGCAGAGGGAGAAGCAGGCTCCATGCACCGGGAGCCCAACATGGGACTCAGTCCCGGGTCTCCAGGATCACGCCCTAGGCCAAAGGCAGGCGCTAAACCACTGCACCACCCAGGGATCCCCAAATAAAATATTTTTTAAAATTAAAAAATAACTCCCCCTTTTTTTCAGTATTTTGAAAGTTAGAAATAATTAATGTAGTGTGGCCTACCCCAATGTAATATAAAGGCACTACATTTTAAAATGATAAATAGTAGGGGTTACCTGGCTGGCTCATTCTGAGTCTTGTTGATCTCAGGGTTGTGAGTTCAATCCTCACATTGGGTGTGGAGCCTGCTTAATAAAATAAAATAAAATCTTTGAAAAATAAATACAAATAAATAAGATAATAAATAGTAGTTAGTATACAATTTGGATCCTGAAATTCTAGGGTATGAGAATATTGACTCTGTTAGTTTTCTGTGGTTTTTATAACAAATGATCACAAATTTAGTGGCTTCAGACAACATAGATTTATTATCTTTTAGGTCCATCCATCCATATGTTAAAAGTTCAACATGATTCTCACTGGGCTAATATCAAGGTGTCAGCAGGGCTGTGTTCCTTTCTGGAGCTTTAGGGGAGAATCTTGACTTTTTCATCTCCTAGAGGCTACCCACATCCCTTCCTCCATCTTCAAAGTCAGCAACATGGCATCTCTGAGACCCTCCCTCCATAATTGCAGTCCCATCTCTGACCACAGCTTTCTCTACTGTGGAGGACCAGTGTGGTGACATTGGGCCCACCCAGACAATCCATAACCTCTCCATCTAAGATCCGCATTGCAAAGTCCCTTTTGCCAGATGAGTTAACATATTTGTGGGTTCTGGAGATGTAGACATCTCTGGGTTATTATTCTGCCCACCATAGTGAATCTGTAGTAGATGTGTTTAGTGTTATACCTAAAGGTACTCCTAGGTTTTCTTTGTCACAGAAGGAATTTAGTCCTGCAGTTTCTGCTCATTGAATTTCTAGATTTTCCCACAATTCTCCATAGATAGCCATTTGTGTTAAGTATACCAAAAAGAAAGAGGAGAAGAAAATATATTGTTGTGCCTTTGCGAATAGTATAGGAACAAAATGAGCTGTCTTGCCATGTTCTGACTCAGTTTTCTTGGAATACACTGGATTATTAGATTGTTGGGTCAGAACATAGGTATTATGATGAAGTACTGGTATTTCTCAGTTATCTGCATGCATATGATCCCTTTGGGGGTTCTGCGAAAACGGGATAAGTGGCTTCATTTAAAATATAGTATTCGAGGGGATCCCTGGGTGGCGCAGCGGTTTGGCACCTGCCTTTGGCCCAGGGCGCGATTCTGGAGACCCGGGATCGAATCCCACGTCGGGCTCCCGGTGCATGGAGCCTGCTTCTCCCTCTGCCTATGTCTCTGCCTCTCTCTCTCTGTCTCTCTCTCTGTGACTATCATAAAATAAATAAAAATTTAAAAAATAAATAAATAAATAAAATAAAATATAGTATTCGAATGGAGAACTCTGGAAATGTTATCCTGAGTTATCGGTCAACACAAGACAAACAAATTTACAGATTTGAGTTTGACCTAGATTGTGAGTCTGCTTTGTGTTGTGAGTGAAAGAAAAATTATCAACTCAGCGCAACAAGATGTGTGGAATTTTGAGCAATATGAGATTGAGAGTAGCATATCCATTTTTGTTTTTTGTGTGGTGTGGGAAAAAGATTGAAAACATACCTTCTTGTGCCCTTTACAAAGCTAACAGTTCTATTTAGAAACGTATGTTGGGAATATAATACCACCTAATTTACTTAAAAACTTAACAGGAAAGAACAGCTAGTATTTTGGACACTCGTCATCTGCCAAACACTGTACTGTGTTTAGCTGCATTATCTCATTTAATCCTAACAATAGTCTTATGAGACAAATATTGTTGTTATTTGTATTTTCCAGAAGAGGCAACAGCTTGACAAGCAGTTAAGTAGCTTGTGCAAAGTCACACATAGCTTAGTCTATGTGTGAGTCTTAAGGTCTCACACATGCTATTACCACTCTTCTACCTCTGCTCAGTCTATTCAGCGTTAAGTAAAATTTATTCCAGGGCACCTGGGTGGCTCAGTGGTTGAGCGTCTGCCTTTGGCTCAGGTGGTGGTCCTGGGGTCGAGCCCCTCATTGGGCTCCCCACATGGAGGCTATCTCTCTCTCTGCCTCTCTCTGTGTGTGTGTCTCATGAATAAATAAATAAAATCTTTTTTAAAATTAAGTAAAATTTATTCCATATGAATCAAGTAATTTATAGATACAGTAATCTTCTTAAAATGCATTTTTGTTTCAAATCAAGCTGCGTACTAGTAAAATTTGGGGATTTTTTATGTGTGATTCTCTTAATTTAAAATAAAACACAATGTTCATATATCCCAGATTTTCTTTTGTAGTATCAAGAACACATAAAATATTTAAATAAGCTGGGGGGGTGGGAATCTCATTGTTAATTGAATGAAATATTTGCCTCAAAAACAAATTTATCTAACCAGTCCTATTTTTTAAGCTGTCCCTAGTCCCTTGTAATTTTTCCATTTGTTTTCTCAGACACAAATTTATATCCTACATTGCTCTGTGCATATATATCAAAAGGAAAATGTAAATGGAATAAATGGAGAAATTACTTTTCTAGTCCCATGTTTTTCTACAGTTTTTTTGTCCCTGCTGCTTTCTTTTTAATAAATGATCATGGATCTCAAAAAACCAAAAACAACTGATGTGTTTATTTCTGTGAGACCTGTGCCTCAACAATGACTTGCTTTTCTAAGCTCCTGGAGCTAGAAGGATGAGGGCAGAGCTGCAGAGTGGGGAACCCATGCAGGGACAGACGAAGGACTTGCTTGTTTGCATGCTGTGTCCTGCAACTTCTGTGAAATTCCAGCTACCAGCGCTTGCTTCTGACCTGTCTTAGAATTTGTTTTGATATATTTCTGGTGCTTTATCTATCACCTTAGTTTCTATTCTTTGACTCTCCCACCCAAGAGATCAAATGCTGGGCCTACGGAATCTTCTCATTCTCAAGTCTTTCACTTGGCTTTCTGACAATGAAAATTTCATTAAATTTCACCAGCAGTCAGTTCTTTTATTTGGACCATCTGGTAGCATATATCCACTTCAGTTGATGCGATTGCTTAAGAAACGACCTTTGAATCTGCAGGGGATTCTGTAGAGAAGCCAAGAAGATATTCTCATCCCAGAAGTTATCCGCAATGCTTGCAGATGATTTCAGCAAAGAAATATTCAACAGCTTCATATCCGGGGATATCCAACTTCCCTCCAATTCTAAAACCATTATTTGCACTCTAGTCTCCTTTCTCTTCTCAAGTTTTTGAGCAAGAATGGCAATAAGCTTCTCATTTCTAATGTCTACTGTGAGGAAAAAATGGATGGAATTACCATTGTAAAATCTCAAGTTCTTTGAGCTCTAGTTTGGACCCTATCTTGTCAGCCCTCAGCTCAACAAGGAACAAAGCCAAGCCCACCCCTTAGAAGACACAACTTCTACTCAGAGGCAAAGAGCGGGAGACCTGGAGACAGAACTCCATCTTGTTCTTGCCGATTATTTACTCCTTGTTCTCAGCATGCAGGAACCATAACGATCTGTTTGACAATGTAAATAGGTCTCCGTAAAGATCATCCTTTTCGATAGGTTTTAGAAATATTTGGGTTGTTGGAAGGATGATATATGAACACCCTCCATTCACCATTTATTTTCTTCATTTAACCATTGTGAAAATTTCCCCTTCCTTAGACTTCGCATATTAATTCTCACTTGCCCATCTTACTCATTAGCTCCTTAACACATGCCCTGTGAGCCCAGGAACTCATGGGGTTTTGGTTTGGAGAGTCTTTGTGTAGGGTTCAGGTGTAGGGAAGAAATCTCACACATTCCTTCCTTTCCATAACCACTGCACTGTAAGGCATGCATTAAGTAAGACAAGATAACCAGAGACCCAACACAGGTTTTCAGAGTAGTCTTTTGTCTTAGGTGTGACCTTTCCTGCAGAACAAGAGAAGCAGAAGGGCTTTTGCTGGGTCTACATTTGGTTTGAGAGAGCAGGCATTTGGAGAAATCTTTTAGACAGGTTACCCACGAGTCTCCCAACAGACACCATTTATTGGCAGGTGCTAGGGAAAAGCATCCCTGACTCCCTTCGGTGTGTTCTAACCCTGTTGTTTCATCTCAGTGGAATGCATGGGGTTGGATCCAAATGAAAGCTCACCTGCTATAGGTCAATCTTGTATTTATTTATTTGGGCTTTGTGGTATCGTGTAATAAGCACCAACATCAAAATCAAGCTCTTCCAATATGTGGGTATTTAAACCAGAAGAAATAATAGAGAAAGGCAGTTAATAGAGGATAAGTAAATAACAGATCAGAAAAGAAAAAGGTGGGGACTGTGGCTACCTGAGATAGAGATATTTAAAAATTGGGAGTCTGAGAGGTCAGAATTTGAACCCAAGACTCAGGTGATGGAAGTCAAGACAAGGACAAGACCCAGGTAAAATGGCAAGTCACAACTGAATGTATCATCAGTTTGAACAGTAACGTGAGCTTGATTTGGGGGCAAAGATTACTTTAGCAAGATTGTTAATGTGTGAATAGTTAGAAGATTTGAAGCTAGGTTGGGTTGGGGCCATGGGCAGGGGAAAAGAGTGACTCCTGGGTTTCTGGTGTGTGAGCAGGAATGGATGGTGGCACCATTCTTTGAGTTGAGGGAATACTGGGAAAGAACCAAACTGCTTTTGGACCATGAGTTGTGAGGGGGTATATGAATCTGAAAATATCTTGAGGTATCCAAAAAACATCAGATAGGCAGTTGGATGTATGAGACAGGTCACTCAGAGGAAAAGTGTGACCTAACAAAGGCTAAATCTAAATCTGTATGTTGCTTTCATTGAAGTGAGCACTCAGACCTAGTGGTTCTTGAACATGGCTTGTGGATGCCTATCTTCACTAGGCAGTTTTAAAATGCAGCCAGGATTGAGGTTCCCTGCTCTATCCACTTTGTGCTCAGTATGCCTCTTTTCTTTCTGCTCATGCAGCTTGTCGATCTTACCTGTGTATTTCTTATAGATACCACCTCCTCTGACAAGCATCACCTAATCTCTCCCAGATGGTTGTCTCTAAATGGGACAGTTCTCCTTCCCTCTCTTCAGTTTTCCGTTTCGTATTCTCTACTTGGTAAAATAGCAGTTCATATTCTCTACTTGGATGTCTTGCCATTACTTCATATGCGACATGCCCCAACCCAAGCGTACCTGCTTTACAACACCTTCCCATTTCTCTCAACTGTAGCATTACTTCCTTCAAACCACCCAAGCTAGAAACCTTGATATCCTCGTCGATTCCTCTCAGATTTATCCCTTCTTACCAGGACAGCTGTTAACAGCACGGATTCCTGCCCTCCGCTGGGGACATTGCGGAGGACTGAGGCATGTTGGCAGGAGTGTGAGCTGCTCAAGAGTCCGATGGTGGGTTCAGACGCTAGCTTCTCCCCCTAGTTAGCTGGGAGACCTTGGACAACTTCCCTAACTTCCCTGACTGCCTCCTGTGTCTTCAGTAGGCCTGATACTGTCCCTCACCTTATAAGGCAGTTGCCTGATTAGCAGTAATTTATGAAGTATATAGAACAGGTCCTAGCAAATAAAGGATACTTGTTAAATGGTAGGTATTATTATTATTAACTTCTCTCCTTGCCTTAATTTCCTTTCTCTCTCCCTTCTATCTGATACAGATTATTCTTTTTTATTTTTTTATTATTATTTATTTATTTGATAGCACAAGTAGGTAGAGTGGCAGGCAGAGGGAAAGGGAGAAGAAGCAGGCTCTCCACTGAGCAGAGAGCTTAACATGGGGCTCAATCCCAGGACCCCAGGATCATGACCTAAGCCAAAGGCAGATGCTTAACCAACTGAGCCACCCAGGCGCCCCAAGATTATTCTTTTTAAAACACTGGTGTTATGGGATCACTTTCCTGTGTCTCTGTGTTTTGTTTTGTTTTGTTTTTTAAGGTTTTATTTATTTATTTATGAGAGACACAGAGAAAGAGGTAAAGACACAGGCAGAGGGAGAAACAAGCTCCCCGCAGGGAGCCCAATGTGGAACTTGATCCCAGAATTCCAGGATCACACCCTGAGCCAAAGGCAGTCTCTCAACCACTGACCCACCCAGGTGTCCCTCTGTGTGTTTTTAGTTGAATTTTTTGCATGGTTATGGCTGAATAGATCCTATCTCCCCTTCTGGTTAGGCTCTTTGAGGCTGTGCTCTGTCTTATTCATCATTTTCTGTTTTCTTCCCATCTTTCCTTCACCCAGGCTTAGCATGGGGCTTTACACATCACAGATATTCAGTAAATACTTATTAAATCTCACGTGTCTCTCCTCTACTCCCATCTTATGTTGTGACTTCTTGCCAATTGTCTTAGCTCACACATAGGACAGCATAATTGGGCCCCACATATCCAGACAAATTTCTCAGTACTTTGCCTTCAGATTCTTGAATTGATTTGAGACATCATTACAAATACTGTCTCTTTGTCTTCACTCCTACCATTCTCTGGATCTGTCTCTGCCATCATTCAATCATCCTCCACACTGGTTAGGCTCCCTTTGGGTGCTGACTCATCTCCTCATGAGTTCCTGTAGCCTCTACATTCTGGGCAGTCTGCCCCGGCTAGGGATCCTCTCTGCTATTGACCATAGATGGGTTGCCTCATCTAAATAATGTCACCTACCTCACGGTACTGTGGAAGTGACATGAAATGAGTATGAGCAAGCACTTTGTAGACTATCACATGTAGCGCACATCTTATTTACTGTTCGTAGATATCTACCCTTTTTTTGTTGCAATATTCTTGAGGGCGGGGATCGTATTTTCCTCCAAAAGACCCTCAACAGTGCTGGATTCATGGCACATGTTCACGAAATACTTCTGGCTGGACAGCCTTATTTTATTAATTTAGTTATTTTTAGAGAGGGGGTGGAAGGGCAGAGGGATTTGGGGAGATAATCTTTTTTTTGGGGGGGGGGATCTTAAGCAGGCTCCATGCCTAGCACAGAGCCCAACGCAGGGCTCAATCTCATGACCCTGAGATCATGATCTGAGCCAAAATCAAGAGTCAGACACTTAACCGACTGAGCCACCCAGGCACCTCTGGATAAACAATGTAAATGTTTTTTTCTTCTAGGAGCTATTCATCATTGATGAAAGTTGAGAACATGTCTTCAAATCAGGTATGTTCACGTTATTTGCTTCAGTGTTGTGCTGTGAAATAATTAAGAGTTTTTAATAATTGGGTGACTAGTCAATATTGATTCACATGTTGCTGATGGCTTGGCGTGATTTGGCAACCATCAAACATTCAAGTGGATTCTATTAGGCACCATCCCTCCTTCCCTGCAGACTTCTCACGTGTTTTTAAGTAGGTCATCTCATGGAAAAAGACTGTTGAAATTTGTTGTGGAGTGCAGGTCTGTTCCAGCACTTTCCTGAACCTTATTTCCCTTTTTCTAGTTGCTACATGCAGAAGTGCCCTTATTAATATTCTATATTAATGTGACTGTAAATTCTGTATTATAACAACCGAAAACAAAATTGTCACCTTCAATTAAAAGATAAAATCAAAATATTAACCCCAAGATCTTACCTGCAGCCTAAGTGACAGCATTGATTTCATGCTCTTCGGGACCTCAAATAAGGAGACATGGAACTCCATATTAGAGTACTGAAAGAATTTTCTTAGCATCAGCATCTAATAATTTTATTGGAACTATGTCAGGGACTTACTGTCCCAGAGTACTATCTTCTGAAAATCTATTTTGAAGTGGATGGCGCACAATTTAGCTATTACTTAACAAGCTGCAGAAAATTGAAACTGGGTGGATATGTTTGCTGTTACTTTGCATGTAGCATAGTTTATAAATACAGTTGACCCTTGAACAACACAGGGGTTTGGGCATCAACCCCCTCTACACAGTTGAAAATCTGCATATAACTTTTGACTTCCCCAGAACTTTAACTACTATTGATCAGAAGCCTTACCTGTAACGTAAACAGTCAGTTGACACATATTTTGTATGTTATGTGTACTATGTACCATATTCACGCAATCTGGTCAGCTTAGAGAAAAGACCATAAAATCATAGGGAAGAGAAAATACATTTAGAGCCCCAAATCGTATTTATTGAAAAAGCTGTGTGAGTAGTAGACCCATGTGGTTTAAACACATGTTGTTCAGGAGTCAACTCTCTATACACTTCAGATCTGTGTTGTTCAGGATACTCGCCTCTAATTACATGTGGTCATTTAAATGTAATTAAAATTTGATTTCCTTTAAAAACTCAGTTTCTCAGTCATACTAGCCACTTGTGGTCCAGTGGTTGCCATATTGGACAGTGCAGAAATTGAACATTTCCACCATCACAGAAAATAGCATTAAACACTACTGCCTTAGATGCTTAGAAATAATTAACAGAATTTAAGATCTCTTAAAGGTCATCTAGTCAAACCCCATAGGGTAATTCATCACTTGGGGTTTTTAGTAGGATTTTACCTTGTTCATAAGAACAATATTCTTATTCCTATCTCTGAATTTATGAGGCTCCTTTGTCAGAGTCAGAGATGTAGCTTTGTAATTTATTCCTGAAAAATTCAGGAATAGCATTATATAATTAAATACAGCCTTGAATTTGAAGGGTAGAGTCCTAAGCTGTCGTTTATTAAGTAGATAAGCCTGAGAAAGTTCTTTAACCTCTCTGAGGGATTATTCATCAGCAGTGGAAGGGGGACCTGTTACTTCCTGGGTCTGTGCTAAAATGTAAACAAAGGTGTATATGTGAAAGTTATCTCTGAACAGAAACGGTCATTGTTATTTCTTATCACTATAGTCTTTAGTTGCTGTTTGTGGGACAGAGTTTCAGGATTAATGATGATATGTATTTAATCCCTTCTGAAAACTACTCTTAGATTTCTTGGAACTCTTAAAACAGCTTCACAGTGAAGCAGAATTCTTTAACATACCCTCAGTCTAATGTCTTTGTTGTGGGTTATTGTTGCTTATCAGAATTTTCTTTTATTTAGAGGCTATTTTCCAGCAGAAATCTGACACCTGTATTATGTTAATCTGAGGCATATTCATTTCCATCATTGTGGATTTTAAAAATATGGACATTCTGGAATTAATACAGATGCACATATATATATACACACACACACATGTTCTGTATACACATTAATACATGATCTCATTAGCGACAGATGTTAAAAGCTCTAGGGGTTAGCAAGTCAGTTTTGTAGACCAAAGGACTACTAACTCTTACCTTTCCCTCTCCTGAGCTCCAGGTTTCAATCAGATTTACATTTCCAAGAAAGTCTTCCACTGGGTGTTTTTACTCTTTCTCGCAATGGAAGGACTCTTAACAGCTTTCCCCCATACTTCAAAAGGATAGGTCTATAGGTCTTTTTTTTTTTTTAAGATTTTATTTATTAAAAAAAAGATTTTATTTATTCATGAGAGACACACAGAGAGGGGGCGGGGGCAGAGACACAGGCAGAGGGAGAAGCAGGCTCTATGCAGGGAACCCGATATAGGACTCAATCCTGGGACTCTAGTATCACGCCCTGGGCCAAAGACAGGCACCAAACCACTGAGCCACCCAGGCATCCCCAAAAGGATAGGTCTTAATTCTCCTTGTAACCATCTTCTGTTTAGGGGATACAGACCTTATTCAGTTTGCCTCCATGATCACTTGATCTTCAGATGCAGCTTTGTGTTTATGTAAATAAGGTAGGACTTGAGTTTTAATTTGACTTATATAAAATCATCAGGAAAAATGTTAATCTTCCACTCTGAAATTGATTTTATTTTTATTTTATTTTATTTTTTAAAGATTTATTTATTTATTCATTCAGAGAGAGCGAGAGAGAGGCAGAGACACAGGCAGAGGGAGAAGCAGGCTCCATGCAGGAAGCCCGATGTTGAACTCGATCCGTGTCTCCAGGATCACACCCCGGGCTGCAGGCGGCGCTAAACCGCTGCACCACCAGGGCTACCCTGAAGTTGATTTTAATTTTGAGCTTTTGTTCTCCTATTTAGAATAATCCGCTTCAGTCGGTAACTTCTTCCTAATCTTTCTAAATTTAGTATTAGTAAATAGTTCCTTTCAATTCAGTTTTATTTACTAATCACTTTATAGGTGGATGACAGGAAGCTTGTCTTGCTATATTGAAAAACACATTGATTCTTAAAGTAAAGGGGACCTAAATGTAAAAATTGTCCAAATAGAGGCACCTGGGTGGCTCAGTTGGTTAAACTTGGGATTTCAGCTCAGGTCGTGATCTCAGTGTCATGGAATCAAGCCCCATGTCCATGCTGGAGCCTACTTGGGATTCTCTCTCTCCCTCTGCCCTTCCCTACTCCCTGTTCTCACACATGCTCTCTCTTTCTTAACAACAACAAAAAAAGGAGTTCACATTAAGTCTTGAATCTCAGATGTATATTTAAAAGATACCATAATCCCCAACTACCAGCAGACACGTGGGACAGACACTCTGCAAATCTGACTCACAGCCTAGGGAGTGACACACTTTCATTGTCACCAACCCAAATTATCTTAAGAGTGTTTTTCCCAGTGTTTGGGATCTAATACTTACCTTCCATGCTAGATGGTGACTCTTTGAACATCTTTAATGCTAGGATTTCTGCTTAGGACTGACTCTAAGACAGTCACAGTTCCGGTTCTTGTATAGAACACCAACATTAGTTCGCTCTTCATACAACTATCAAAAGCATTTTTACTGTGGCCTCAGTTCGTTGTGCTCATTGAAGGGAACTGGAGATCACACCAGACTTCAGAAACCATCGTTTCCTGCCTATATTTCTGTCTTTACTAAGAGCTATTAAGAAGGATCAGAGTGTATACATCTGGAACCCTGAGCCCTCTCTCCCCTTCTCTAACAGCTCAGGTATCAGGCCATGGATAAGAGAAGCTGCAGCAAGGGATAAGTTCAGGTGGAGGGAGACATTTGCAAGCAAATGTCCCAGACTTAGACACTTAGTGAATGTTGGCATCCAGAGCAGTTTTTTCAGGGTGTGCAGTAGCTCAGAAGGAGTCTGGGGCTCTACTCTGTACTCTTGTCCTTGGTCTTTAGGACTTGTCTCTAAGCCACACAGTAAAATCAGTGCCTTTATACTGATTATATATATCAGTGTGTGTGTGTGTGTGTGTGTGTGTGTAATGTGTATATATATCAGTATATATATATATGATATGTATATATACATATATATATACATATCATAACAAGATATTTTTTTTCATATAAGATTTTTTAATTAAACTTGTCAGGCCACCTAACTTGGTAGTAGCCTATGGCTTCCTAATCACTTTTTCTATTAAAAAAAAAGAAGAAGAAGAAAAGAAAAGAAATATCCATCTTGTGACAACCTTGAGGCTCAAAATAATGGAATTCAGGTAAAAAATGCGTTAGCCTATTGGCAGCATTGGTGGCATAAGGATGTGAGGCAGGATCTGTTTGGATTCATATTTTGGTATGTTTGTTGAAGGAGCAATCCGTTTTCTTTGTGTCGCACTTATTACGTCCTATTCTAGGCCAGGTGAACCTTTACTTCATAATTTGGAAACCGTTGGGCACTTGTTGCTATATGTAATTCAGGCCATGTTAGGACACCGTAGAAATTCAACTCCTACTTTAAGATAGAGAAGTGGTGAGTGCATGTAATGATTTTACTTTCTGAACTCTGCAGTTACGCATAAGGAAGCTTGTTACTTAATAATTGTGTACATTTTAAAAATGGAGTTATTCATTTTGAAAGCTTCTACAATTTCACCTTTTTGTTTTCTACAGGACGGCAATGACTCTGATGAATTCATGTGAATGGAGGAAAGGACCTTTGAAAGATGTGAATTGCAGGACAGTTTCAGATGGTCTGATTTCACCTGTATTCAGAGATACAAAAAAACAACTAAAATTCTACCTTCATTCTGCACAAATACTACCAACGTTGGAGTTAAAAAAAAAAAAAAAGTGTTCCCTTTTTTGCTGACAGAAAAGGATCAGATATTTATAATATATTTGGACTTGAAAACAGCATATAACTTTAGGAAAGTGAAAATATTTTTGCTGAAACATGTCTTGGTACCTCATGAAAGTTGGCTGCCCCTGTTCCTGGGATAGACTTTAGAACAAACCAGCTCTGCAAAGTATTTGTTCCTGTGATCTGTCCCTGAAAACAGATGTCTTGAAAAACTTTTCATATTTCTTAAAATAGCTTCACTTCTGTTAAGAAGAATGTATCAGTGAGCAATATATGCGAACGTTGCCCTCAACCCTCATTTCCTGACTACAACAAAAATGCTTATGGGTTTTGATGGTGATAGTGATATTTTCAGAAGATTGCTGGCTTCAGCATTCTCGTCCCATTGTGCCGTGTGAGTCTCTTTGCAGAGTTGTCCGCAGCTCTCATTTTGTCCTGGCTTCTGTCTTGCACATCCGTTCTCTGAGCGAGGGCCTCCCCCTAGGTCCCATCATGCTTAGAGAAGTAGTCCACATTAATCAAAGTTGAGCATGTGGCAGTGTTTACCCGAGCACCTAGTAACCCAAGCCACATACGTACTTCAGGCTCCAGAGCCATGTCTCAGCACCAAAGGAAGATATGGGGAAGCATGATCTGAATCATTTTCAGAATGTGTAAGTTACCTGATTTTTGCCTTGGGATGCAGCAGAAAGCAAAAGTCCCACATTGGGGTTATACTTTTAGAAAGAGTGAGGCATTTTACGAGCCAACAAATTAACTTGTTTATTTACTTTGAAATAATATTTACTTTGAGTTGTATCTCCAGAGTTCAGATTTCTCAGTTGTAGGTCCAGTAATGTAATAGGTAACAGGACTCCTCATCTGAACCACCTACTCTCCAGGGGGATTCTGAATAGAAGGTGTATTTTTATTGCAATCCCTGTAGGAAGAGATAAAACAAAACATGAAAGGGGAAGAAGAAAAGCCTGCAGGTCAGGAGGCATACAAATTCATATTTTAACCACACCCAGAACTCTACACAACCTTTTTATTCTTAACTGTATTCTAGCCCAGCAAAAGTTATCCTTCTCCAACAAATACTCTACCTGTAAGAGCACTTTGGAACTGTGGGTAAAACTAAAGACTTCAGTGTTTCTATTTATCCCAAGTTGGTGTGTGAGGTTGAACTGGAAAATTGCCCTGAGGCATACCTCAGCCAGATTTTGAGAAGGAGGGTATGGGAGATGACTCCAGAAATTAGTGATTGTGTGTATGTGTGTGTGTGTGTGTGTGTGTGTGTCTAATAACATTCAGCCTGGAGTTCCGTGATTTTAGAAATGTAAAAATAAAGAATCATTTTCTATTTGGAAGGACATTAATATATGAACTCTTAGAATTTGCTATTTATCCCCATCCCCACACTGGTTCTGGGGTGATCTGGCTGTAAAAAATCCTCATCCATCTTAAGCTCAGCATGGCAGCTTCTAGAGGCTATCCTCTATCTCCCTCACTGCCACGTGTGTCTCTCCCTCAGATGCCCACGGGGTCCAAGTGGATGACCTTTCCCAAATCCTCTCTGGATTGAGTGGAAATGCACACGGCCCCTGCCCGCCACCAGAGGCACATCTTTCACACTGTGGCAAACATCTAGAACAGGGGGATCTTGGCTCTGGCATCACCTGTGTCCCCTCAGCCTGCCACTACTGCTGAAGGGCTCCCCTGTACCATGCCCCCCCCCCACCTGCCATGACAGCAGATATGGTTAGAGCTTTTGAAATAGATGACTGTTTTCAGTGTAGTGTGAGAGATCCTGGGGTCCAAATGTTAAACATATCCTAATTATCACCTCACACTGGTTTAAAATGTCAGAGCCTCTCCTCAGCATTCTCTTAGTTGAATTCCTAGCTCTCAAGCTTCCTGAGTGACTCTGTGTATTGGGCAGTCTTTTCCCCAGGACCCATGTTCCCAAAAAAAAAGAAAAGCAAGGACCTGTGGGTGTTGGTTCCGTACAGGGCGTTACAGGTCACACTGTTGGCCCTAAAGCCATCTTTCTTCCTAGTGGCCTGTTAACTATACTTCCTATAGGAAAATTCCTAATCATTATTTTGATGAGCTGTGCCCTTGATCAGATCCATGAGTCCTGAGGGTGTCTCTTTTTAACTGTATCTCATTTCCCCACTCAGATCTGCAGGCTGTGGGTGAGGTTCACATTATCATTTAATTTGTTAAACAAAGTCGACTCTGTTTTTTTACTCTTTACAGCTGTAGAATCCATTTCTTATCAGCCTTTGTTGATCTGGGGTCAAGATCTTGGGCCGAAGGAGATCAGACACTGCTGGTGCTGAAACGCATATGGGGAAGCTTACTTACCAAAGTATGGAAGGTTTTGTTTGACATTAGCAGAATAGGCAACAAACTTTAGCTGAAGGCAGTAGCTCTTGTTTATTTTTGTTGTTTTATATTTAACTCTTTCTCCTAGCACAGCTTTTGCTGAGCCTTTTAACTGTTCAGAGCCAGAGGTTGCCCCACTCAGAAAGGAAGGTGTCAGGTGTACACAGGGCAGGAGTAGGAAGACATCAGCTCTAGCCTCCAGCTCTGGACCAGAGCTCTCCCCTGGACCCCCCACCTTCGCCTCTGAGAGGCAAAGCCCTTGGTCTCTGGGCTAGAATAGGTTCTAGGGGAGACTGCACAGGACAGGGAAATAGAACACCCTTCTAGTGATACTGAAGCCTGCCTTTTCTCTGTTTGATTTCAAATACGGCATTGTGAATGACAAATCCCATGCTCAGAATGATCATGGTCAAGTGAGTGGGCAACCTTTGATTTTAAAGAAGCCTATAAACAAACTATAATATAATCGGAAGTGTAAAATTAGAAACTGAAATTCCAAGCTACATTTCCTCTCAACCCCTCTAACTGCAATAAGTATGGCAGCTCAGAAATGAGGACACCACTGCCAGCGCCCAAGCGGGCTCCCATTCCAGTTTCACTTAGACCTCTGCTCGGCACCCGTGGGCCCAGCACGGGGCAGGAGGCTTTATGTGCACTCTTGTCATTTCACGAACGAGAAGATGCCAACTACATATCCATCACATCTGGGATGAGCAATATGTAAAATACAATAAAAGCTTTTAGTTTGAGTAGAACCAAGTGTGTGTGTGTGATTTTACTTTTCACTTTGCTTCCCCAAGCCTCTGCCTCACTGATGGGATGTGCATACTTCTTTTAGATGAGTAGGAAGAAGGAGGTTGGTGACTGCCTGAAATGACGCCCTCTAAATGGTCAGGTTTGCTTCTTAGCAGGAGGAAAGGAATACACCAGGGTGAAAGGAAGATTGCCCAAGAGTTCCAGGAAGAGAAGCAAAGAGCCTGGAGCTCAAGGGCCAGGATTGAGCACTGTTATTTGAAATTTACAACTTGATACCCGGCCTTCGAATTCCTAGGGGTCTGCTGAGATTTGAACCAGGATGAGGCTACATATGTGAAGACTTGCTGGGATGGTATCTTTTTTTTTTTTTTAAGATTTTGTTTATTTGAGAGAGAAAGCACAAGTCGGGGAGGGGCAGAGGGAGAAGTAGACTCCTCACTGAGCAGGAAGCTTGTGGTGGGGCTCCATCCCAGGACCCTGAGATCATAACCTGAGCTGAAGTCCCAAGTTGAACCAGCTGAGCCACCCAGGCGCCCTGAAATGGTACCCGTAAAGAATGTAGTGGCTTTGGACCAGTGTTCTTTACAGATTCACCCTTTCCGTGCTGGTGCTTGTTCTGTGCCTGAGTGCATCTGCAGGCAGAGGTCCTGGGGTAGAGGGAGCTGCAGAAACAGTCAAGTGTCGCTCTCAACTGCAAAAGCATATATGAATTTTAAGATTTTATTTATTTATTCATGAGAGAGGGAGAGGCAGGCTCCATGCCGGGAGCCCAACGTGGGACTCGATCCCGGGACTCCAGGACTGCGCCTTGGGCCAAAGGCAGGCGCTAAACCGCTGAGCCACCCAGGGATCCTGCATATATGAATTCTTAAATGATTATTAGGAGACATTTGAGTCCTATTTCTCACTAGTCAGGGCAATGCTTACTTTGGGTTGTAACTGCCTTCGCTATGAAAGTTCTTGGATTTCAATTTCTGAGTAAATTAGCTGATACGGGGAATACAGGTTGAAACCAGAATTCTTACACCCAAACTGTAGAGATCCATGCATATACTTGGTGGACTCGGGAGTCCACTGAAAATACAAATACCCATCTAACACCTTATGGTAACTGCAGTTTATAATTAAAATAGATTTAACCTCTTTTTCTGGCTCACGTTGATTGCTTCATTCTTTCTGATTTCACAGTATCATTTACTTGAGGAACTTCCCACCTTAGTGGTTGTGACTGTAGTTCTGCCCCGGAGCCAGATGAAATAAGAAACTTCTCTGCTGCTGGCAGGCACCGACTGGCACTGACCTGGCATTTTCTGCCTTTGTCTGTCGATAGCCAAGGAATGGAGGCCAAGGGAAATGAAGGCTCACCCTTCCTATCTTATGTTTACTTGTTTCCAAACTGGTGAGTGGGTGTCGATATTTAAGGCTGAAAAAAAAAAAATCTCCTAGGTCAGTATGCGTTTTCATTCCCACATCAACCCCATCCTGTAACCACTGCAGTAAAAATATAAGACTAATGACCTGACATTTCACATCCTGCCTGGCTGAGGCCTTAGGCGCCCGCTCTCCTGCTGGTATTTTGGGTTCTGCTTCTGCAGTCTGCCTTGCATAGAACAAGCTAATCTTTGCTTCTGATTCCTGGGATCTGTTCGGAGAATAGGATCTTTCAGCCACTCAAGGCTGGTCCGTTAGTCTTGAACCTTTCTAGCTCCTCGGCCAAATCCAGGGTCAGCAGGTCTAAACCACAGACTGAAAAAGGTCAAGAGAAAAATATTGTTAGAGGCAGTGCCCTTTACCCAGCTCAGTCTTCCCAGAATTTTCTTCTGTGGTGAAGCCCTCAGCTTTGCTCTGTCCCTTTAAGACTTGACTTTTTCTTTTATATTGTTAATGTCCTCAGTATTGGTGAGACGTGTGTAACTTAGCCAAAACTAGAATTGCTTTAAGAAGAGCCTTTGGAGGGACCCCTGGATGGCTCAGCAGTTTAGTGCCTCCCTTCGGCCCGGGGCGTGATCCTGGAGTCCCTGGATCAAGTCCCACATGGGGCTCCCAGCATGGAGCCTGCTTCTCCCTCTGCCTGTGTCTCTGCCTCTGTGTGTGTGTGTGTGTGTGTGTGTGTGTGTGTGTGTGTCTCATGAATAAAAAAATAAAATCTTTAAAAAAAAAAGTCTTGGAGCTCTTCTAGTTCATTTTCCCTTCATTCATAAGCCAGTTCAAAACTCCACTCCTCGGGGCAACTCCCTGCTTGGCCTCACCTGCCAGTATCCACTCGGATTTGGCCCTGGAGTGCTCAGCGTTACCCTCTCTGTTTGCTCTGGTAACTCAGGTTGCACTGAGGAGATGCAAACTCAGGTTTGCAATCAGGGGATGCCCTGACCCCACTTCCCTCAGCCTGGAAGGCACCCCAGCCTGAGAGCTGGGCCTGGACTTTTATCTTCACTACCTCCAACATCCTGCGTGACCTTGGGTGGCTTAATCAACCTCTCCAAACTCCCATTTCTTCTGGCAGGGTTTCTAAGCTCCACTGTTCCTTCATCCCTGCCCTATGGCCCCTGGGAAGAGGACTGTATAGAGTTAGCAGCTTGGGCCTGGATAGCATGTTCAAGGTATAACCAGTAGGGAATGACTCCCAGTACTTCATTATCTCCCCTCCCTCTGTCCAAGTGAAAGCGACATTCACATCCAGGAGGCTGTCGCCCTGGACTGAGATCGTGCACCACTATGACTTTGACCTCTTTGCCAGTGAGAGTGCCTGACCATGTTGGTTATGCCAAAGGGGAGATCACCTACATCAACGAGTACAGCAACCGGCCCATCTTCAGCCGGCCGCTATACGTTGGCTTATATGAGGATGTCACTGTGGAGACCCCTGTGCTGACAGTTCTGCTCCAGACCTCACATGAAACTGTGTGGGCCCTCCTCTCCTTGCCTTTGTTGTCTTCTGGTCTATCCACCTCACTTCCTCATATGCAAAATGGGCGTGAGACTCCAAAGTTGCTGTCAAGAGGTGTGAATGTTGGATGTGACAGCATCCCCTGAGCAACCCCACCCACCATCATGTCCCAGCCTCCCCAAAGGTGTTTCCGGAGCTCCTAGCAAGTGGCAAGTTTTGTGGCTTCTCCCACCACCCTGCCAGGCCTGGTCTTTGCTGCCCCTGCCTTTTCCCAGGGTCAGCCTGGTCTTTCTACTGCCTTTGCCGCAGGAGGGGCTGAAGTTATGGCTCTCTGCTCAGACACTGTGAAATTCCTTCTCCCTGGCCTTCTCTGGGATGTTATTAAAATGTTCCATGGGATCCCTGGGTGGCGCAGCGGTTTAGCGCCTGCCTTTGGCCCAGGGCGTGATCCTGGAGACCCGGGATCGAATCCCACGTCGGGCTCCTGGTGCATGGAGCCTCCTTCTCCCTCTGCCTGTGTCTCTGCCTCTCTCTCTCTCTCTCTCTCTCTCTCTCTCTCTCTGTGTGACTATCATAAATAAATAAAAATTAAAAGTAAATAAAATAAAACGTTTCATGAGGGAAAAAAAAGTCTTTGGAAAGGGGTGGAAGTTCTCAAATAGACAAAGCTTAAATTTGGTCACAGAGAAAGCTTTATGGGTGCCCATAGTTAGAAAATATTTCCTTTTTCAATAAGAAGGGGGAAGGTGGTCCATATTCCTGTCCCCTCACCCCCAAAGTGAGGCTCTGCTTGGTCCCTCTTCTGCCATGGTGAAAACCGTTACCCGCCATGTTTAAAACCAGTTAATGATTGAAGATTTGTAATAGAGTAAAACTTTGGTGAACAGGATAACATGGTGATTACCTGGACTTTTTCTTCCTCACTTTTCAGACAACTGCTCATATAGCAGGGATTAAGAAAGTACAGGAAACTCAAACCTTCCCTCACTTCAGCTTGCCCACTCTTGCCTCCAGGCGCTGTGAATGATCTCCACTGGAGAAGGGTCCCCCACCCCCAGGATTTCCTAGGATTCTGAGTTGGGAAGAATGTTTAAAATGTTTTTACTCAGGGACACCTGGGTGGCTCAGCAGTTGAGCGTCTGCCTTCTGCCCAGGGCGTGATCCCCAGGGTCCTGGGATCGAGTCCCACATCGGGCTCCCAGCATGGAGCCTGTTTCTCCTCCCTCTGCCTCCCATGAATAAATAAGTAAAATATTTTTTAAAATGTTTGCACTTCTATGAATTAGGTACACAGGGTTCAGAATTTAAAAAGTGTAAAAGGGCAGAAGGCAGAGATTTTTTTAGGTCAATGAAAATGCTCTGTATGATACTGTAGAGTGGATACACGCCAGTATACATTTGTCCAAACCCACAGGCTGTACACCAAGAATGAACCATAAGGTAAACTGGACTCTGGGTGATTATGACGTGTCAGTGGATGTTCATCAATAGTAGCAAATGTACCCCTCTGGTGGGAAGTTGATAATGGGGGAGGCTGTGTGTAAGTGTGGGGGTAGGTGGAAATTGGAAAGCTCTGTATCTTCTCAATTATGCAATGAACCTAAAACTACTCTAACAAATAAACACTATTTAAGAGAAGAAAAGGGTACAGAGTGATGTGTTCTCAGTTCCTTCTTGGAGGCAACCAACGTTACCAGTTTTTGGGTGGTTTTTTGTCTGTTTTTTGTTTTTTAGCAAAGGTAGAATTTCTCTGTCTGGACTCAGACCAGCTTGGTAATTCTGCCCACTTCTTGGGTGACTATGTCCAGCTAAGGAGGGAGGAGAGGCTTCTCTCTACCTTTGCCTCCTGGGGCACCTAATCCAAAATGCCTAGCCACTTCCCAGACATCACACCTGGCTACTGGGGCTTAGGGGCAGGTAATGAGTTCCAAAATGGAGAGGAACAAGAGGACTAGGAGTGCCTTGGTGTCCCCACCCACAAAACAAAGTCTGCTTGGACACCAAGTAAAAGGGCAGATTGTCTCTTGATGAACTCCTGTGTTCTAGTTCAATCTGAGCTCAGGGGAGAAGGAACACAAGGAAGGAAGAGATCTGCTTGCTTTCATCTCAGTT